CTGCAGACTGTTGGATAATATACAAGCTGTAGATGCATACGCTGGTGGCTAAGGAGCTGTTGGCTTCGCGCAGGGGATGGCGCTGAGGATACAGTATATATAGTGATAAGCATACAGCATATATGGTGATGAGCATACAGCATATATAGTAATGAGCATACAGCATATATAGTGATGAGCATGGCGATAAGCATGAGCATGGTGATAAGCATACAGCATATATGGTGATGAGCATGGCGATGAGCATAAGCATGGTAATAAGTATACAGCGTATATAGCGATATGGTGATAGATATAGCATGTAGAGCCACGGGTGTGGCAATAAGCATAGTAAACCTTGTAGTCAATAAGTAGAGAGTTCTAGGCTGGTTGTAGTTACGTTGTGGTTACCTTACGGTATTGTCAACCATTACTAGTTGCGCAACCGTGTTGTTATGCAGAAATTGGATCAACGTTGATCCAGAAATACACGTGACTATTACGGTAATCCTACGGTTGACTAATCATGCGGAATTCCGGTATGGTAGAAAGGTCAAAAGTAAAGCAAAAGTAAAAAAGGACGACATCAAAGCAACATGTTTCATTCGGGTTTCCGCTTCTTTGCTAGCTATTGTTAATCAACTCACCTTAACGGGAGAAACTGGAATCAAATAATTACATGATAGAGGGGAGATTCACGTGTATCATCAATGCCAAACTTCACAATTCCAAAGCACATCCAATGCCTTCCCATCTAACCGACCAGGACCAATGCAGACTAACAAGATCGAAATCCCACCCAAAACACAGATTAATAACTCTATCCCCTAATTTCCTCATTGTATTTCATTTTTTCCCAAGACATTTCTTCGTCACTGAAGGTGCTACTCTAGTTTTTTTCTCCTTGATGGTAGAAGTTTTGCTCAATCTCGAGCTACGGCGCCTATCCGTAGGAGCAAGTTTGGCCTTCTTGTTGGCCGGCCTATTTTCAACTGAAGATCCATGTTCTTCATTTGTTATTTCTCGTTTGACTGTTGGTGGATGATCTGCTGGATGAAAGACATACTCTTCTTTCTTTACTGATTCGATTGGCGGAATGTCACAGCAGACCGCGAAGGTCGTGGCGATAGAGATATTGCCAAAGTTTACCATTGCCTCTGGGAACTTCACATCTGGAACCGAGGTTTCACTGGCTGCCCTGAGGGCCGGATGTGAAGGATCAACTGAACTTGGCCGAGAAGATTTAACCTCAGAAGGGAGTGAAGCTGGTGAGCCTACTGGCTCGGCAGTGGATGATGCTCCATCGTCAAGAACAGAACTCACTGCGTCATTTTGGTCATTTTCATTTGCGTTTCCTTTTAGAAAGGCTTCAATTTTTGTGGGGTTATCGTTTTGGATCTGTCCAGTTACGCCGGGCGCAGCCTGGGCCTGGGGAACGGAAAATGTTCCCATTATAGGTGATATTGGTGAGTATGGCGGCCCATGCTCTGAATTTTCTGATGAAGCCGACGTCATTTTGGTTTGAACGTTATTATTGGGCACTTTGATGGCTAGGTTCTTGAAATTTTTATCTGATGGCGCGTTATACTGCGAAGCTGGTGAAGAGTATCCTGGCGGAGGCGTCTGTGCAATTGTATCATCACTATGAGGCATAGGAGTGGCCTGGTGGTTATTTAGGGGGGTCAGGTTTCTGATGGGTAAGCTCATCCGCGACACGGGCGGCAATCTACCAATAGGGCGACCGAAACATTGGCGTTCTATTTCACTTTTCGGCTCTTGCTGCATGCAATCTTTCATTGAGCTTCTGGGAGGATGTGATTCCAGCTCTAGATATGACTTGCCCCGAATTGTACCACCATGGACCACCTAATACCCTCTGCAGTGGAAGCCTATCATCGCCCGCAAAGGGACCAGGCGAGATGACAGACTCCGAATGTGGGTATTTTCTTGATTCTGCTGTCTGATATACTAGTGAAGAACTAGGTGGATGGCTGCTGGTGGAAGTTAAAGGTACTGGAGGGCTCGATGATAAGTTTTGAGGTGACTGTGGTGACAAGGAAGTTGCGATATGCATGGCATTGTGTATCTGCGCGGCACCCTCTGGCCCAACGTTCAGTCGGACGATTGGGTTTCCTGGATTGGCAGTCATAGGCCAAGTAGGGGGTTTTCGGTCCGGTTTTTTAGCGGATTTTCTGCGGCCAAGAATCTGTTGAGCAGCATTCAGGGGGGTCGAATTTATTGGGACACTTGGCCCCTCGTACAATGGTACGCTGCATGTACCCACTTCTGGGTTTCCAGCATGGTTGGCAAAACAACGATCCGGACCATTAGCGCTACCATTATGCGGTTGAAACGAAGATGAAGAAAATTCTGCCTGGGCTGGAGGATTGCTGCTAGACCGTTCAGTCTCTTCGCTGCTAAGAATCCATTTGAACTCATCCTCGCCATTCTCTTCATGCGCTTGATTAATGGTTGCAAGGTCGTTCTTCCATTCTCCGGCGTACTTTGTGTCGATCCCCAGTCTCCGCAGAAACCTCCGAGCAGCTAAAAGTTCACTGGCTTTGATCATGAGATGGTCAACAGCCGTTCGGTTTTTAGCTTCTCGGAAGTACTGCTTTGAAATGCTTCGAAATACCAGTTGGCCTGGAACTCTGGACTTCCTCAGGACGCTATTGTCGATACGAAGGAGTGCCCTCAGCTGCTTAACTTGCATTTCATGCAACTCCCGGGCTTCATCCTCCACCTGCTTTTGGCGGCGTGCAGGGCTTTGGAAGGCATCCTCTTGCTGCTGTGGCGTCAGCTCTAACATGTATACCACACGCGGCCAAGTATAGACCTGGGTCAGATTCTGGATTATTTCCATTTGAATAACGGGGTTAAGATCTTTCCATTCGACGTATGTGGGCGCGTGAAGATATTTGTAGTCTTCAACATCGACAGAATGGTCCGAGTCCTCTCCGCTACCATCTTCTTCGCTCGACTCCATATCACTCCACGGCTCGCTCTGGAATCTATGGGGCAGAAAAGAGATTAGTTTATACTCTATGTTTGAAACCTCAGGCATCCTCTGCCCTTCAGGAATATCACTCACTCGTTCGCAGGGGATCCGGGAGAGTCTGGTTTGTTATTTTGAGGCGGCATCCCCTCTGGTCGAGGACTGTCAAGCGTAGGAAACGCAGCTGGAGGCGAGTTTGGGTCGTAATCAACAAACGGCGGTGGCCCTGCAGTTGGTCTCGCGATAAGAGGGACGTGTGGTTGACGAGGCAAGTCGTCAAGCGTCTCGGAAGCCGCCTTTGACGCGCCTCGACGACCCGACGCCTTTTTCCCAACCCAGTCTCCACCGCCATACCGTTCAGGGGCCCGGATGTTATCTCTCTGTCTCAACCGCATGTTGCCAGCCGCTGATATTTGACGCAGATTCAACGGTGTTTACGTTTTCAGAGTGATGTAAACAGTGACTATTTGGTCCTATCAAATCGAAATTCAAGGTCGAAGCTGTTATTCTGTCCCCTAGACAGCAAATAGGCAGAGTTAATAATGAACCAAGCCAGAAGAAATCAGGCTCCAGGAAAAGAGAGCAAGATGGCTGCTTGCTTGTAAAAGTAAACAGTGAAGTAAGTTGTGAAGAAGCGCCCGGCGTTATGGCTGTGAATACTCATCGCCGCGGCGTCAAGAACATAGAAGCAGTCTATGCCCTATTTGGCCATAGGAAGATACACACAAGGCAGCCTATAGAAAATAGAACGCAAAAAAGGAGCCCTGTGAACACCGGCATCCGCCGCTAGAGAGGTAGAAACTGAGTGTGTGAATGCTATTGTACATCCAGCAGAGATAAATAACACTGTTGAAGGATGAAGGGCAGGATAATGATAGATACAACAAGTAATGAAAGGGGGAGGATGCCATTGACTACAAGACCATACAAAGAAGAAGAGAAAAATGATAGAAAGAAAGGGAATATAGGCCCACAAACTTTCTGCGGAAGAAGGGAAAGAGAAGAAGAACCGAGCCTCTAACGAACACCGAACCATAAAATCATCAAGAGAGGAAGGGCAAGTTCCGCAATAATGACACCGTTTTGGTCACATTGGGTCGAGGCTTCCTGCATTAGTGCAAAACGCTTTTTTGGCACTTTAAAATGATAACAAGAAGAAAGAGCAGTTGCAGTTTACGGAAGAAACCGCTAGAAAGCCCTGGATGTAGGCATCAATTGAGTGTTGCTGCTTCTCTAGATGCTGGTTACATCACGGAAAGGGGGAAGAGAGGGCCGGCATGGATCGCCCCAGGCCCCCAGTGAGTGATCTGTGTCCATGGGCTCTCCATCTGAGTTCTGGGATTCCTCGGTAACTTCGAAAGACCTTTTTCTTGAAATTGTATTGTCCGGCACTAGTAACCCATTTGGACCAATTTGATGGTTGTCTAGTGCGTTCCTGGCAATAGACCTTTGCGCATCCAGAATGGTCTCAAAAGCTTTCAGAATATCCATAAAGGCAGGGTGAATGTTGATGGACAGTCGTCGTACTTGAACGTGGCTTGATGCTATAGCTGCTCCGGTTTGTAGCATTGCCATAAAATATGCGGCGATTACACAGGCTGACCTATCATTTCCTGTATCGCAGAACACCAATACCTTTTTCGCTCTGCCATCTCCTTGCGGCTGATGAGCTGGACACATGCATACGTGGTCATTGATTAGACGGATTATTTTCGGGAGTTTGCTGATAAGCTCTTGTGCGCTGTCTATCTCAATGTAGTCCGACTCAATTCCCAGGTCGGCTGCTACCCTATCCCCGTTGACCGTCACAGCCTGAATCCGGGTTCGGTCTCTGATAGCCAGGAGTAAAGTAATGCCGTGATTTGCAAGAAACTCCTTGTCACGCATAGCATTGTTTGGCCCTAGATATAAGAAGGGAAGGATATCCTGTGCTGTCCGGCGACGGTCATATACCCAGTCCAGGAGGTGGATAGGCGGTTTGATCTGTAAACCCGAGAGGAAATTCATGAACTCGGGACAGGCATAAACCCCTGGAGGGAGGTCGTGCGAGGCGGGTACTTCCAACGGGCATTTTTCAGCAATCTCCATAGCTGAGTGGACGCTGTCTGATAGATTATCCAACCCAGCGTTGCTATATTCCTGGTTAGGAATATAGTGCGGGATTGAAGCCATAGGAGCTGTAGATATCTCTCTCCAGGACTGTATGGACCAGTATTATATGAGAAACCAGTGTGTTGTACGGAGTATCAGTAAAGCAGGTGGAAAAGTGAGGATGTAGCTATGAAGCAAAAGGGAGACTGGTTGCTTCTCCTAAGAAAGTGGGACAGGGAGGTTCGGAGTGATGCTGTTGATGGCAGGACAGCTTGTCTAGCAGTTAGCGCTGAAGGCTAGAAGGACTGCATTTCATTATCAGGTCCGTTTGTAAGAGAAACGGCCTTCCGTGCACTATCAGTTTCTGCCCAGGCTCCACGCTGTAGATGTAGGTGGTTGTAGCTGTGGCTGTGGTTGAAGTGAAACTGACGTCTAACGTTGCTTTTGTAGCAACCAGTTAAAAAAACAGTGGCTGACTAAGCTGACGCCTGACGACAACGACTACGACAACGACGACAACGACGAGAACGACGAGAACGACGAGAACGACGAGAACGACGAGAACGACAGCTTCACCACCAGCTTCTCTTCTTCCGCTTCTACTTCTTCTATGCTGAGACGAGGCTTCGGATGCAAATCGTTCACGGCTGAGTCCCGGTATTCGATCCGATTCATGTTCCTGGCCCTTGGTGGCTCGCCTTTGGTGCAGCTGCAGTCGCGCGAAGGGGCGTTGTAGCTACCTAACACCAAGTATCTTTCAACGCCCTTCGAGTTCAGTTTAGGTTAGTTGTTTAACCTACAATTAAGGTCTCCCGATCATCAGACGGGGTTTCCCTGAACTTTGTGTGTCAGAATACTCCATATCTCTCGTTGGTGGCTGTTGAATTTAGCGAAAGTTTGATCTGAGCATCCAAAGACAGGCTCATACAGAGAACATAGCAATGGAAGTGAAACGCCTTGCCGACTGCCAACGGAATGTCGCATTGCCAGGAGGAGAAACTACCGAGTAGTGCATAGCTGGTGGCTGGGGGAGCAAACAGAATACAATGCCTCAAAATACAAACGCAAACGGAAGAACTAGCCAAGTTAAGCATTTCCAGGCTGATTGCGAATGATTGGGTGTGCACCTTGGCTCCGTTGCTGTCTCAGCTGCATGGATCGACGGAGACCGGAGGAAAGACGGAGAACAAAGACTGCGGCCGCCGTATTAATAATTCGCACAAGCTTAGCATCGACATTATTATTGCCTTTCGCTTGTCACCACTAGGGCGGTGTTGGAGAACATCATTCGCTACATGGGCCTGTCGGTGCAGGGAGCTGAAGTTGAATTATACGAGGCTGGTGCCTGCATCGGGCTAGCTAAGCCGCCATGGAAGATGAGGCTCTGCAGTTCGTGTTGTGCGGCTACACTGCAGAGTGAAACAGAGAGCCCGCCCAATTCCCCCCACGGATGCTGCGGGTAGCCTGGTTTGTACACAGCCTACGTACGAATTTCGTTTGCTCGGTAGGTACGTATACCTCGTATAGGCAAGGAAGAATGAATGCATGGAGGCTGAATGATCTAAGTAAACGACTCCTCTACTATTCACAGTCTTATCAAACCGGGATGAAAAATGCGCATGAGAGAGCCGTATTTAATTTATGAACAGGCCAATATGAGGGAAGAGGGAGGGGCGTAGTTGTAAAATATATGTTTCCCATGCTATGCAACAATGAAAGTCAAACTCATATTAGAGGAAAAAAGCCCCTTATTCCAGACCAGGGGGTAGTCGGCGGTGGGCGCCTTACAGCTGGACCATGCTGAGTGGGCTGCATGGCGAGCTAGCGGGGATAAAGGAAAAACGCCAGAGCAGGAGAGTCCAAAGAAAATATTAGTATCGACATCATTAGGAATCATGGATGCTGAAATAACCGACGTAGCTCTCTCATTTCTCGTTTTAGTTCGTCTATTTGGGTGCCTTTGTACTCCAGTTCGCGGCGCAGGAACGATACCTCATCCCGTAAGGCACGCACCTCGGGGGCTGTCTCATCCTCGGATACGTAAACTGACGACGCAGTGGAGGTCCGCTTCCGTTTTGATGGTGGGTGGTGCACTGGTAATGAGATCGGGGGCAAGACTCGAGAGTCATTGGCTGTTGGTGGAGCGGTGGCGGGGGCTGATATACCCGCAATAATGATGGTGCTGGTAGAAGCTCGGGAGAGAGGCGGTAAAGTGGCATTGCTGATTGTGAGAGGAATGTCTTCAGACCTGTGAAGACGGCGAATATGTTCCTTCAGGTTTTCCTGCCTGGTGAACCCTTTTCCAGAGCTTCGGTTGCAGTCGGAATAGGGACACATCAGTTTCTTCCCCTGCGTGTGCATCCGGTGCACTTCTCGCTGATGGCGCAGTAGGCCGCCGGAATATGTGAAGCCTGGCAGTTTTGCACAATCTGGATCATTGCATTTATATGGCCGATCATGCTTATCCATATGTTTACTACGTAAAAATATCAGCACTATTTTTAGAAGGATCAAAAGCAAGGCGACAAGAGGGTTGCCTTACTTCCATTCGCATGGACGGCGGAAGGCAGGAGGATTTGCATGACAGTCAGGATGGTCACAATAGATGCTTCCATCCTGATTCCTTGGTGGATCGTGAGCGCGCTTGACGGCTAATCTGGGCCTTGGTGACGTAGCAGTTGCAGAGACGGGTGAAACCCTTTGAGACATCTTATTTTCTTCGACTGGAGGTGTGGCCGAGGGCGTCCTGATATTCCATTCACTTCGTGGAAGCAAATAATACTCGACTCGCTCAACCATAATAGTATCGTAGCTAATTCCTGAAAAGAGAATACCTTTTAACGCATAGTTAAACGGAGCAATGCAGATTGGAAGGCCGCTGGTGGATTGGTAACGGTAGTCGTAGGAGTAGAGTAGCAGTTGAAGGTACAAAGTTACAAACGAACAAACGAGTATACTCCGTTCGTTATATACTCTTGCAGCTCAGCGCCTCGTTCGTATTGCTGCGGCTTAAAATTTATACGGTCTATGCCAGGCTGAACTGTGCGAGAAGATCCTGAATGTCAGTTTCAGCTTGAAGCGGGATATCCAGTTAGCGCTTGTGCGGAGAGAATATTGGTCGCTTCGTTCCTTCGAGCGAGCGCAAATCGTGACTCTAAAGATAGACCTGCTGGTGCCTTTATATATGAAATATAGCTGCCTGGTGTTGGACTCGTGATCAAAAATGCCAGGCAGATATATCATCCTCCCCTTGCGGTGATCGTGACTCATGACTGGCATCTCTAAGCCGGCCTGAGCCATCCACGGAAGTCCAGGACTCCATTTCCCGCGTCTCCTCGTCGTCGTGGCTGTGAAGATAGTTGAAGTTGAAGAAAAGAAGCAAAAACTGACCTTTTTTGGCAGATGTGGTCACGTGGAAGCTGAAGTTTTTCACTCCTGCTTTTTCCCTTTCGAAACATCAACAAACGAAGACGGGACATTCACGTCTTTGCGGAGACTCACAGAGACGAAGGAAGCCGGGTGGAGGGATGGTAGAAGGAAGCCTGTGTCGATGCCTTGAGGCTGACGGGGAGCCATGATGATATCTATTTCACTGGTTAACTATGTGTTCTGTTGAAGGCTGTGTCGTGTCAGTCGACTGAGCGACTTGATCATGGTCATCCTCTAACAACATGCTAGTTAAGCTATCTTTTACAATCCTCAGTTGATGCTGAGCTGTCTCTCTTTGAATGGGCACTTCACCTCCGGGGGGGTGAAGCTACCTCTAAGGAGTAAAGGGACGGATGCTTTTGGCAGCCGGTTGGGTTTGGCCAGGCTAATTACCGCGGGATGATGGACACAGAGCCATACGCAAGGCATCAATATGTATGCGCAAGCTATCATTCACTCTGCTCAACTGCCACTTCCGCCAGGCGAAAACACGTTGCCTCGTGATGGCCAATGAATGATCCTCGTCCGTCGAATGCGTCACAGCCACGTCGGCAAGGACACCTTGGCCCGTTTGCCTATCCACTCGCCTCAGCGAGTTGATATAAACTTGTGTGTCCTGGAGACTAAATCGACTCGAGAGATCTATACGCCTCTCTTGGATGCCTGGATAGCTAGTCACGGGGGGTTTTGCCTTGGATGATGACTCTTTCTTAACTAATATCATCTGGTCGCCTGGCATCCGTCAGTCAACAACGCGGCCTTCTCTACTAGAATCCATTTTTGCCGACGGCTCTTTGCCACTGTCTGCCCTGCATGACCCTCAGCGCCGGGTCTTTTTCTTTTTCTTTTTCTTTTCCTTTGCTAGAAAGCTTGGTATATACCCAACCTGTGGGGCGAATACAGCTCAGGCCTTACTTTTCAGGCCATCATCCAGGGCGATCCATATCTGTAGGATATTCTTGAAATACCAGCCTCTCCTTGTTGATTGTCCAATCTGACTGCCTTCCCTCTCCAAGTTACGGCGAGCGGGTTCCGGATATTTAGGTGACATGTATACGGAGTATCTATCCGTATGCACTCTTGTGCTGCATAAACTGGTAGTGCAACTCTCATACCTTTCGTCTTTATGCGATAATACTCTTAATAAACCCGTAAACCATCCCTAAGTAACCGTCTATCTCTCTCTTCTTTTCATCTCTTTCATCCCTGACCTTTCATCTTTCACTTCCCTGGCCATCGTATCGGCCATGCAGAATCGCTTATTAAGCCGGAATATCTTTCTGCCGAACGTCGCTTTTGTTCCTGTTTTGGCAAGTTTATTTAGTTCCGCAGAAGCTGGTTTGATATCGACGAAAGGATGAACCAGCCCAAAAACCAACTGCAGCAACAGGAACAACATCGCCGCCACCACAGACCGTCCAGCTCGCTCAAGTCGCCGTCAGCCTCTCTCTCTGCTCTCTCCGGTACAGCCTCGTCTCTACCTTACAGCTCTGCGCTGCGTCCGCCGCCCCTTGACCGCCCAAGCTATCGTCCCCCCCTTGCGACTAGACTATTCCATAAACCCCCCACACTGTGTCCTCACATCAACTACCAGAGAAGCAAGGGAAATCCGCTGAAGTGGCCTTCAGTAGAGGGGCCTCCGGCCTTAGGAAGAACCAAGCAGACGAATAAACGAGGAAAGGAATAACCCCTGCTGTGACAACAACTGGTAGAGATGAGTCCGATCTTGACCAATCGGCAAGCTGAAGAGCTGTAGGTGTAGGCCTGCCATGGCCTCTGGGCTGACATGGCGAAGCTGGGATGGATAGATGGAAGGCTAACCGCCGCGTGTATAGTCATAAATCGATAATAGCATATCTCACGGCCAATAACCTCCTGGACACGGCTAGCACCTTGAGAGCGGAGCTGAACCTACATGAGAATGCGTTTGACCCGGCAACAGCAAAGAGATATGAGACTTTACTGGAAAAGAAATGGACGAGTGTAGTCCGGCTACAGAAAAAGGTAGGTCCACTGGCCATTGAAGGACTCTCTCATTCCTAAGCTTGCATTTGCTTGCGGCAAACATTTACACTTTCAGGAACTCAAGTCTAACTTTGACCGTTACTTACAGATTATGGACCTTGAATCACGAATGGCAGCGATGCAGGCTGAGCTCGACAATGCGACACCCACCTCACTTTCCAAACGCAACAAGGACCCCGCCTCCTGGATCCCAACGTCCCCCGCTCGGCATGCTCTAGAATCGCACCGAGATACCATCAACAGTGTCGCGTTCCACCCCATATTCTCCTCAATTGCTTCGGCATCTGATGATTGCACTATTAAGATATGGGACTGGGAGCTGGGCGAGCTGGAGCGAACAATCAAAGGCCACACACGAGCAGTTGTTGACGTGGATTTTGGAGGCCCGAGAGGCGGCATACTACTGGCGTCGTGCAGCTCAGATTTAAGTATCAAATTATGGGACCCGGCGAATGAATATAAGAACATACGAACGCTGTTGGGCCATGACCATAGTGTCAGTGCCGTGCGGTTTATACCCTTGGGGGCCTCAGGGGCGCCATCGTCGGGCAACCTACTGGTTAGCGCTAGTAGAGACAAGACACTGAAGATATGGGACGTCAACACCGGTTATTGTGTGCGAACTCTACAGGGACACACCGCCTGGGTACGAGATGTTTTTCCTTCTCCAGATGGAAGGTTTTTGCTCTCAACTGGAGACGACAGCACTGCCAGGCTATGGGACATTTCTGTGTCGAATCCAGAAACCAAAGTAACGATGTTCGGCCACGAACACTTCAACGAATGCTGTGCCCTTGCACCGTCTACTTCATACCAATATCTATCTCCTCTAACTGGACTGAAAAAGCCTCCGCCAGCGAGTAGCACTGCAGAGTTCATGGCCACTGGTTCTAGGGATAAGAAGATTAAGATATGGGATGCCCGAGGCACTTGTATCTTGACGTTGGCCGGACACGACAACTGGATACGGGCAGTGGCTTTTCATCCGGGCGGCAAATACCTCTTTTCTGTATCAGACGATAGGACACTACGTTGTTGGGATCTGAGTCAAGAGGGAAAATGCATCAAGGTGATGAGGGATGCGCACGAACGATTCATTACCTGTTTAAGATGGGCTCCCTCAATATTCAAGGACGCAGCCACTGGTAATGGAGCAGGCGACGGAAGAAACGGAGATGCCAAGAAAGGAGACACCGCAGAAGTCCAAATCCGGTGTGTTATTGCAACTGGGGGTGTAGACATGAAGCTACGGATATTTGCAAATTGATACCACAAAGAGAAAGTTGCAAAAATGACAGGAAAGGAGAAGAAGGAGAGAATACACGAGATTGAGAAACGCCCATAAGAGATAAGCTCAAGCTATTCATGGCTAGGCTTACAATATACGGAGCTGCGAGAGGCTGCGATTGCTGCTGGAAGCCAGACGCCGTCACACTACAGGCTCAAAAAGATCGCATGGCTTCGCGTGGCCTATCCTGGCATGCATGGCTCTACGATGATATCATTACGTACTCTTCTGCTCAAGGGCCTCGATCCGAAGTTCTCCTTTGTGAAGGCGGAAGCCAACTGTTGCGATGGGCGCATGTGGCAGCATCAATCAAAGCATATATTCACCTGCTATGTTACGCAGTCCGCTGTACATAGCAACCATGGCGCCTTACGACAGGGTCTGGCGTTATATATGTATGTGTGTATGCCCAGGCAGAAAATGCCACAGGACCCGATAAAGTCTCTCCTTGATCCCTATATCTGCGTTTCTATATCATTTAGCAGCCCGATATACGGCCGTTTCTCTAGCAATGTATTCAGAACAACCAGCCATATCCTCCGCTCACCTATATTTAGCTGTAGTAGAAATACCAGCCTTCTTTATTCCCCGCCCTTTTTCCCCAAACCCCAATGTTCCACTGACAAGCCATTCCTGCTGCAGTACAAGTCTTTTATAACCATCCTTATTTATTGTTCAAATCAGTTGAGCTTTACTCCCATTCTTAACTGCTTGTGCTATGTCCTTAAGCTTTTCTCATAATCTGGCCATACCCACTTGACCATCCATTCTGATTTTAAGACCTCGTCTATTGACGGTCTCTCTTCCGGCCGGAAAACCAGCATCCGCCGTATCAGATTTATAATTGCTGCTGCTTCCTCCTGGGGAAATTCTCCTACTTTGCGCTTCCGCCTATACTTCTGTACCCACTGCTCGAACGCCTGATCGAGTGGAGGTGCTACCTCCCGGTCCTCGACTGGACGCCTATCTCTGTCGAAAAATTCACTGCGTGCCTCCCAGCTGTCCCACCAGCTAGGCGGCATGGGGCCTAGGATGTCAATGTATTGAGAAACCAACTCATCGTCAGTCACCCAGTCAGTGCTGAAAATAGCTTTCATGCCAATGATCTCCCATATAGCCGTGGCTAGACTCCAGATATCTGCGGAATAAGCGAGCGCAGACTGTGGCTCAAACAAGGCCTCTGGTGGTCGATAACCTGGTGGCGTATGGCAGTCTTCCCCTCGACGGACTTCTGAGGCAGGAGAGTATGCCTCACCGAAATCAGTGAGAAGAACCCTTGTGTCTGCAAGCGTAAAGTCCTCGGCCTCTTTACCAAGGTAAAGCGGTATGGTTGCCTTGACTGGAACATTGGGTGGTAAAGGTTTTCCATCCCGTCTTTTAATCACAGCAGTCTCGGGCTTGCCATATGTTTCATACAGCTGCTCAGTAGAAAGATGATCTAAGCTAGATGGAAGCTTTAGCAGGATATTATGAAGGTGGATATCTAGTCAAGTAACTCCGGGAGAGTTATTCTTAGGTATTAGCCGAGCGCGTATAAATCCATATAAAAAGGGGGTTCGTATCATCCAACCAACCTCCATGAACATAGCCTTGGGAATGAACGAACGAAACGGCCCTGACAAGCCCACCTACGAGGGCACGAGTTACTTCTAACGAGAATAACTCATTAAACGAGACTTCTTGCAAGTTGCATCGTGATGGTGTCATAGTGTAGCACACATGTGTTCCATTGGAGCCGTGTACCTCGAATTGATCCAAGATATGAGGGACTGAGTTGCGTCCAACGTGCATCTTGGCTGAAAGCGATCCCTGTGGAGACGAGAGAGCCTGCAGAGACTGTATCTCACGTAGAAGCGATTTCGACTCGGATGCGATACCAACTTTGACGGTAACATAACGTCCTAAGCGCATATCCCGAGCTAGCCAAACCGTCGAGTATCCACCAAATCCAAGCTTGTGCACGACGCGGTATCTGCCATGAAGAACGTCATCGACCATAACAGGGTGATACCCTCCAGGCACGTAGTTCTCAAGTGTTTCGGCGCCATCAACCCAGTAATATTGGATATCAGTGTCTCCGGGTGACATGTCTTGTAGCTGAGCGTGGGAGGTGGTAGAGTCGTGTCTTTTGTACGAAGAGACGCTTGACTTCCAGGAGCTTAAAGGGCGATATGGCCGAATCGCACGAACAAAAGGGGTAAATTGCCTATAAAAACACGCCATATGAGCTTGGGACAGTAACTCTGTTATGAGCTTGCCATTATATCTATATAGAGATTACGCGCTGTGTTGGTATCAGAATGTGATGGTACATCAACAATAGCCCAACAACCAGTAACCAATAACATAGGCTGAAGAGGTCGGCCATAAAACCATGGCTTAGCATGTAGCTGGGGAAGGTGACGTTATACCTATGAGCTCTAGTTCTATCAGCAGCAGCCCTCCTACTCTGCCTTCAACAACAAACACCCCCCACCGTACACCGTCCCGTCTGCGCCTACTGAGGATGAATCTTTTATCACACCTTGAGTTAACGTCGAAGCTGATTACCACCAGTGATACCGTCATCAACTCAGCGCTGAGCGAAGATAGCCAGCTAGTTACTAACGGCATATGGCCCACAGACGTTGGAAAAGGCAGCGGATATGACCCACGTTGTTTACCAGGGCGTCGCCAAGGTAAGTAAATAAATAAAGCTCAAGGCTGTGCTATCTCCTTGTTTTATAAGCAAGAGCTGAAGTTCTATTCTATAACTAACCAACTTATCAAGGCCACCGAATGGAGTTTCGGTAATCTTCTTTTGGCGTTAGCCGCGGTGGTTGGTGTTGTAGGTGTCGTCTTTATTGTGGCCCCAGGTATAATAATAACACAAGCTCTTACTGCGATGGGATTCACTTCTGCGGGAGTTCAAGGTGGTAAGTCAGAGTTATAACCCATGCCATCATCCTCTTGATTGCTCTCTCTAATAGCCCCTCTTCCTAGGCTCTGTCGCTGCTGCCGTCCAAAGTACGATGGGAGGCAAGATCGTGGCTGGCGGTCTGTTTTCACTGGCACAGAGCGCTGGGGCTGGAGGCGCTACCGGGATAGCGGCCATAAACGCGGGCGTTCAAGCCGTAGGGGCGTGGGTTGCTGCTGCTGCTGCTGCTGCCATTGGAGGGCTTGCATGGCTGGCGGCGAAGAGGCCGTAAGAAGAATAAAATTCATAGCATTGACTAGTTGGCCATGGTAGTTAGCTATTCAAAACAGGAATATGTATATGGAGGACCTCTCCCCTATTTCTCTGGGCACCCTTAGGTGCGAGAACGGAAGAATGATTTTACACTAGTTCGAGCACCAACTCCTTAACTAGGTAGCTAACTACCGATTTATCGAGCCAGACTTCCAGATATCCATGCCTGCTCCCAGGATCATGGATGACTCTGCAAGTTAATATGAAAAGGGAATCATGAAATTGGTTTAGGCAACTAATTACATGCACCAGCGTGCGGAGTAACTAACTAAATATCCGAGATGGTAGTTACTCTTGCGGCTTCCAACGTCATGAACCGGGACAGGATACGGGGTTCAATCTCTCAACCAGCGTTCAGCAACCTCAGGCTCGGTCCCTTTTCCTTTCCCGGGCTCAAGTCATGGCAACAGCGACAGTAACAGCCTTAACCGCGCTTAGTTTCTTTACCGTCCTTGCAGCCTTTTTCTTTGCCAGCCCGTTGCGTGCAAGGACCAGCATAGCAGCGACACGACATGGCAGAGAAGGCATATACGAAGACAAAGACGGAGTGGCTTCACCAACAGCTGTGAACGAATACGCACGCTACACTCGGCGCCTTCAAATCTTCATTCATCTGGCTGCTCTGTTCGGCCTTCTGTTATCTGTCACGTCTGCCTCTTTGCTGGGCTTCCCGCTCCGCCCGGTTATCATCACCGTGGAATGGGTATGACCTGACCTCCGCCGGTTTAGCTGGCCTCTGGGGGCAGCTAACTAACTATCTGTAGCCCTTCACTTCCACTGTTGCTGACGAAGGATTAGATCTTGGTCAGCGCTGATGGACTCTTCCTTGTACGCGAGTCTTCGCAAACGAGAAAGTATGCTATCGGCCTCTGGATATCCTTCTCAGCCATTGCACTCTCTTCTGCGCTGGTCATAGACGTGTACGCTTTGTACCACACACAGGGATACCACCGGCCTGCTGGTCATCTTGTTTCTCTTGTTTCCCAAGCTGCTCGATGGATCCAGCTAGGCATCGCCCTGGCCCTCGCTGTTGCAGGTGCGTGCTTGCAACGAAGGCCCGTTGTGTATCACGATGGTCAAGCTGTAGATGCGCAATACACCTGCTCCGCTCTCCAGAGGTAGGTAGGCAATCATATTGAAGACTGCTGAAAAAAAAAATACAAAAGAGGCTCACCATACCCCCCAGATATACTTTTACCTGGTCCCAGGCACTACTCAGTCGAGCCAGGAAAGTTAGCAGGCTTGAGTACGCAGACCTTCCCTGTCTAGGCCACAACACGAGATCTAAAGTGCTTTTAGAGAGGTTTTCTGCTGTCCAGAGCGTTGACTCTCGGAACCCGCTTTGGAAGGCAATCATTCGTGATCACCGTGCTAATTTCTACCGACAATGGCTGCTTGCTATCGTCGAGAGCTGCGCCATGATGCTGCCCCCACTATGTCTATACAAAATTCTAGTACTACTTGAGCGGCAGTCTTCTGCTTCAGCTGGCCCTGGGGTTTGGCTATGGGTTGCATGTCTCCTGATCTCAAAACTGATTCACTTCGGACTGGATACCTGGTAGGTATGCTCGTCAATATTAACTAAACAACGAATACTAAGCTTCAATAATAGGCTGCAGTGGGCCAGTTTTGGAGGTCTGGCCATACCGGTTCGTTCTCAACTGTCTGCTTTGATTTTTGCGAAGTCTCTTCGCTTAAAGATCATAGATACCGAGCATAGCCCTGGAACAAATATACCAAACACGGAACAGGAAGTTTTACCACCTGCTTCGAACGAAAACAACGAAGCTCATGAGACTGATGCTCTCCTATCAGGTGGAGATACTGATGAGGAGTCTGCAGACAAGTTAGACTCACAAAAAGATGAAGGAGATGACACGACAAACGCTATGAGCCGAGGGATCGTCAACCTCCTAGGGGTAGATGTTGAAAGGGTTTCAGAGTTCTGCGGCTATAACATGGACTTGCTCCGTGGCATTGTAAAGATAACAATCGCCGCTGGGTTTCTTATTGTCTTACTAGGTTGGAGGAGGTAAGTCGCACCGCTAAGAAATTGCGTTAATGTTATACATAGCTAAATAGTATTGTCAAGTACTCTCGCGGGCTTCGCCGTCCCCGTGTTGCTGGAGCCAGTGAACCGCGTGGTATCAAGGTACTATACGGCCAAGCAACTTGTCGTTATGAATGCTCGCGATAACAAGTCTCGCGTTATTGAAGAGGCTCTTCACGGAATTAGACAAATCAAGTTCTCCGCATCCGAACCTCAATGGGGTAAGAGCTTGCTCGCCGCCCGAGAGCGTGAACTAAAAGCACAAAGGGAAGTATATATTTGGGGAATCATCCTCACGTTCTGCTGGATATCGATGCCAATGTTGATAGGCGCAACGTCTTTCAGTGTATACGCATGGACGACTCAGCAAATGACTGCCTCCGTTGCATTTACTGCATTAGCTATTTTTTCAAGCCTAGAGTTCACGATTAGTGCCCTTCCAACGACAATCACAGAAATGCTAGATGCGCGTGTGAGCGCTGCTAGAATCCAGGAACACCTCGAATCCAATGAGCGCGAGGATATTATTCAGCCGGGACCATGTGTTGAGTTCAAAGATGCAGATATTGCATGGCCTTCCACCGAATTCAACTCAAAGTCCTTTTCGCTTGAAGGTCTAAACCTGGCTTTCCCACCAGGTGAACTTAGGTAAATTGGGGCACATTTCCTGTTTAATCGAACTTTGCTAATTTGTGCAGTGTAATATGTGGCAAGACAGGAACGGGGAAGAGCCTGCTCTTAGCTGCCATAATTGGAGAAGCTGACCTTCTCCGTGGCCATATTGCGAGCCCAAAACAAAACAAAACAATATCCGGAACAGACCAGCCTCTGTTAGATACCTGGACTACTCCCACGGCCATTGCTTATGTTGGACAGGTCCCTTGGATCGAAAATGCTTCGGTCAAAGACACTATTCTTTATGGCCTTCCCTATCATCGGCAACGTTACGCACGTGTATTGCACGCATGTGCACTTGACCAAGATATAGCAATGCTTCCAGATGGAGACATGACAGAAGTTGGAGCCACAGGTGTGAACCTCAGCGGAGGACAGCGTTGGAGACTCACATTTGCCAGGGCTCTATACTCGAAAGCCGGGATACTTGTCTTGGATGACATATTTAGCGCGGTGGATGCTCACGTCGGCAGACATATACTTGAGCATGGGATTGCTGGCGACTTGGGTGCAGGTAGGACTATCATCCTCGTTACCCATCATGTTAGCCTTGTTGAGAACCTCGCTGGATATATGGTCGACCTGGACAACGGAACTAGTGCAAGACTCAAATCGAACTCAAGCAGTGTGCAAAACCTGACACATCTTGAGAGACACGAACAGTTTTCACACTCTCTTACTGCCTCGAATGACCCGTACGGTGAGCGGGAGTCGATCAGCTCCGTCACCATTCGGCCTAGGAAGTTTGTCCAGGAAGAAACTCGGGAACATGGCCGAGTCAAATGGAGCGTATACCGAATGTATATAACGGCATCAGGCGGTTGGCCGTTTTGGGTATGCGCATTGGGTATTTTCGCACTATCTGCCCTGGCAATAATATTTCGTTCCTACTGGCTTGCGCTCTGGACCAAGGTATACACGGAGACCTCAGATAACTCATCAGTAAAGCCTAGTCTGATGTTTTACCTAAGCATATACCTTGGAATAGCGATGATTTCACTTCTGGGAATTTGTGTGAAGGTCGCGCTGGTAGTTATAGCTTCCCTCCGCGCTGCCCGACATATGTTTGAAGGGGCAATCCACAATGTGCTTCGGGCCCATTTGAGATGGCTGGACACCGAGCCCACCGGGCGAATTTTGAATCGTCTAGTCGGTGACTTCGCTACGATCGATAGTCGTCTAGGCGGAGATCTGATGTGGTTCTTAAATGGAGCCTTCTCTATCGGAGTTATTGTGATAGCGGCACTGTTCGTGTCTATCTGGATGTTGATACCGATGACGGTCCTCGCGTCCATCTGCCTATATGTGGTCAATCTATACCTAGACGGCGCCCGAGACATTAAGAGGCTAAACTCAAGCGCCAAATCTCCAATCTTTGAGCATGTCGGGTCCGCTCTTTCTGGACTCGCTACTATTCGCAGCTTTGACAGAGCTGATGACTACATGGAACGGATGTTTAGATATATTGACAAATACACACAAACTTCATGGTATATTCTCGTTACCACTCAATGGATGAGGTTCCGACAAGGAGCCCTAGGCGTCGGCTTCACTTTGGTTATTGCTGCTGGGGTGGTCTATCTACCAGGGATCAGTGCAGCGATTGCCGGGTTTGCTCTTAGCTTTGCCCTTGACTTTTCCAGCGTCGCAGAAGAGACAATTACCAGATACACTTCCGTGGAGCTAGCTATGAATGCAGCAGAGCGGGCACTCGAATACATGCAACTAGATACAGAACCAGCCACCGGTGATCCTGCACCAGAAGGCTGGCCATTATATGGCCAAATCAAAGTCACAAACCTCGAAGTAGGATATGCGCCTGATCTAGAGGCAGTTTTGAAAGATGTTAGCTTTCTTATACGCCCTTGCGAGCGTATTGGAATAGTGGGACGAACTGGAAGCGGCAAATCGTCCCTCACGCTTGCATTATTTAGGTTCCTCACAGCACGAAAGGGTACAATCGAGATTGATGGCGTGGATATTTCACGCATTAAACTGCATGACCTACGAAGTCGCTTGGCTATAATACCTCAGGACCCCATACTATTCTCCGGGACTATTCGTTCTAATTTAGATCCTTTTGACGAATATCCCGACTCCGTGCTTCAACAAGCTCTGCAGCGGATCGATCCTAGCCGAGCCGAGCGCACTTCTGTATTTCAAGATCTTCATTCTCCTATTTCACGGGGAGGCTTGAATTTAAGTCAAGGCGAGAAGCAGTTGCTTTGCCTTGCGCGAGCCATGATTACGCGCCCTAAGATCCTGGTCTTGGATGAGGCAACAAGTGCTGTGGACATGGAAACTGATGCCTTAATGCAAAGCAGTATTCGTAATGAATTCCGCGATGCCACATTGCTCGTTATAGCACATAGACTTAGCACTGTAGCCGACTTTGATAAGCTTCTAGTTATGAGCGATGGCCGAGTTGTTGACTTTGATTCCCCTGGTGTCCTGGCACACCGAGACGGCATGTTCCGCCGGATGCTCGAGGACAGTGGTGAAAAGGAGATGGTCCAGAATTTACTACAGTGGTAAGCTACCACAAATTTAACCCCATGCTTAACCAACCTCCCGGCAAACTGCCTTAGGTGGGTATGAATAACTACAGTTCTAGGGCATAAGTTTGGATAAATTTTATACATCTCACCTACCAAAAAAAATAACAATACATCTTGATTTATCAACAACGCAGCCAATGATAAATATTATTGTCTGGAATTTGATATAATACATTTTTTAACAATTAAAGAATGTAGTCTATATCATACCCAACGTTTAATATCACGTATACTACGTTTTGCCTCGAACAGAGGATTTATGAAGTAATCCATCTTTTAGTATAACTCCGCCTATGAAATGTCTCCAGTAGATCGCTCTTTAGTTAGTTTCGGTGCCAGGAGAGTTCTCTATATCCAGATCAATGTGATATATAGTCGTTTTGAGCTTAGCCCAGGCATGTTCGATAGAATTCATATCTAGTAAATAGTAAATAGAGGTTACTCCATGGCCTATATACCGCTCCCTTACAACCACTCTACAACCATTTTAGTTACCTATGTTACTACATAAACTTTGCTTATTGTCACGGCCCCGTCACCATACACGCTATATCCACCACCATATACGGAGTACTCCGTATACCTATCGATAATTAGCCATCTCATCTCATCTCGCTACACGTTGCTTGGCTTTCTGCCTTACGCATTCGATAATTTCGATATGGTCATACTCCTTTTGGTGCTAGTTAACTCATAAATGCTTAATGCATGGGGGGTTTCGGCCTACCGCTCTTTCGCGTTTCCCATCGTCACTAGGTATTCATTCCCCCTTTACTTATGCATAACTGACTAGCTTGCCTGTTAGTTAAGGCATTGGTGTTACAAATCGCATGAATCGCCTGTGTGTACAACTATTTGGCCGCGAACGGATGCTAAACTATCCGATGCCGGGATTACTTCGAGTTGTTTCTGCAATACACCCTTTATGCTTTGAGAAATAAAATGGCCTTGATAACAACTTGGGCTGGCCCGACTGGCAGATACCCTGAAAACAAGGGTGCAGATCATTTGATCACAAGGATATCCCCTGCGATTGTTCGATCTTTGCATATATTATCCTCCTCTTTCCCGGGCCCGATGAACTCTAGTCGCACGGATGTGCCGGTCTCTGTCCAGCTATGCCAACGTTGTATGTTTAGCATAAGACTTTTATGCTGTTTTGTGCTCAGTAGCCAGCTTAGGGGTAGACAGCGGTTTTAAATCAGGTGTCCTATCCAGTGGCTTTCTTCTACAGCGCGAAGGTGACTACATAAAGACTCGGTTGCTCCGGCTAGGTCGACACACAGGCTTTGCTCCCCTCCCTCAGGAGCGTGGGTGGTTGTAAGTTTTGACAATCGGAAATTTCCACATCACAACCTCTGCCATGGCTACTATAAGCTTAGAAAGCTTGACGATTACTGAAGGATGCGCTATCCTGGTTCTTCTTGTGGTTAGTTGAACGGAAATATCTGTGTTTGACATTTGGTAGCATTCATTAAACGGTTGGGTCTAGGTGCTTTACACCATTGGAACAGTCATTTATGAGCTTTTCATTAGCCCCCTAGCATCAGTCCCTGGCCCCAAATTATACGCCATTTCACAGCTCCCCCTGCTATACCGATCATACCATGGTATTTGGTCGTTCACCTTAAAGGAACTTCATGACAAGTATGGGCCGGTGGTCCGGGTATCCCCTACGGACATCTCAATGATCACTCCCGACGTGTGGAAAGAGCTCTACAGTCCTAAGAGCCGTCCGGGCGAATTTGAAAGAGATAGGTCATTCCGTCTTTTGGGCAGGGGTGGTACAGGCATTGCAGATGAGGATATTGCGGAACACACTCGGCACCGCCGTATGCTTTCACACGCATTTTCAGAGAATGCTTTGCGAGGTCAGGAAGGAATTATGCAGCGTCTTGTGGACATGCTGATCTCTGGACTGAAATTGCATGTCAAAGAACATGGCCCTGAGCCAGTTAACATGACCATGAGATACAACTGGACCACTTTTGACGTGGTCGTGGACCTGGCTTTTGGCAAACCCTTCGGGTGCCTTGAGGCACAGAGCACTCACTACGTGATAAGCATGATTAATGATCTCTTTTATTATATGGTGCGCACACAACCCTTCAAACGCTTCCCACTGCTCGGACCATTTCAACACTTACTTGGATCTCCTTCCGACGCTATACCAACAATAAAATTTTTCGAAAAGTTTGCGTTAGAAACGATCAAGAGTAGGATTGACAGTGGAGATACTGGAAGGAAGGATTTCATGTCGTATATACTGGCTCATAATAATAAGAAGGAGTTCACCGACGGTGAGCTGACGTCTAATTCATCGACTCTGCTGCTTGCTGGAAGCGAAACCACCGCAACCACCCTCACCGCCGGAACTTATTTCCTTCTCAAAAACCCATCAGTTTATCAGCGTCTAGTTCAAGAGATCCGATCCGCCTTCAAGGAAGAAAAGGATATTACGATAAGCAAATTGGACAATCTCCCATACTTAGTTGCCGTCTTGACAGAAACACTACGCATATTCCCTCCAGTACCTGGCATAATGTCCCGCACTATTCCTAAAGGAGGCCAATATCTATGCGGTTACTGGTTTCCAGAGAGGGTTCGTTACTTTTCTTGCGCTCGATATATAAAGAAGACCTTGTTTTCTTGCAGGATCTCGCTCGTTTTTATTGCTATGACTCAAATTGCTCATCAAGATTCTGTATAGACTATCGTTTCCGTTTCCCAGTTTTCTGCATATCATTCAGAACGCTACTTTTCGCGTGCTGAGGAGTTCATCCCTACGCGGTGGATCCACATTTTGCTAAGGACTCAAGAGATGTATTTCAACCATTTTCGGTTGGGCCACGGAATTGCATTGGCCAGAAGTAAGCTCACTTCCTCCCCTCTGTTACTCTAATGCACTAACCTGACTGTTCAGCATGGCGAGAGCTGAAATGAGACTAATCATGGCCAAGATTCTCTGGAACTTTGATCTGGAACTTTCACCAGAATACGATAGCTGGGAAAAGGGGCTCCGCGTTTATGGTTTGTGGAGTAAAGGTCCTCTCATGGTGAAGCTCAAACCAGTTGAAAGAAGTTAACTCACTATACTTTTGTAGCTACTTCTTGAAAAATTATGTCCGGATAATCATTACTAGTTATCACTTTCACAGTTGTTCCGTGCACTCCCCCCCCAATTCGTCCTACAAGTAAGGCGTATCCTTGACCCAGAAACCAGATATCTAGCCATCTAGAAATTGCAATTGATGAATAAACGAACCACTTGTAGATATTGTTGGACCAGAAGGGACAAAAAGGCCTAATGCCTCAAGGAATCCTTGGGTAATGAGTGCGAGTCGTACTCCGTAGCCAATGGAATATTCCAATAGATAGAGAAAGCGATTAAGCTCATTTAACTCCGTCGGCTGTAGCCTTGAATTCTTGGCAACGGCTAACTAATTAACTAGTTAGTTAACTAGTCTAGCATGTGACCATTCTAATTTTAAACTTGCGGCACGGACTAAACCTTCAACCCACCTCATCCCATGATACTTTTTACACGGTGCTTGAATGTTGAACGAAGGCATAGCAGTGTATATATCAATTTTGTGGGCCAGCTTCGAAAATGAGTATTTCTATGACGGTTACTTCTGTCTTCACTAAGGCTCTTCCGAAAGTAGAGGTGGGTACTTTGGTGGATGCTTGCTCAGGCTTTGTGTGCCATCATTAACTAGTTAACTTGTTGGCTAACTGGCTATTTGTGCAAATAATGACTTAGCTTCATGCCCATTTGAGTGGAAGTATAAGCCGGGAATGCCTTCGTGAGCTATGGCTACAAAAGAGGGAGCACAACCGCGAGCTACAGGTCCCGGATCCAATGATAGTCATGCCTCCAGGAAAAGTTGACTATTCCCTGAAGACGTAGGTAGCTCATATTTAATAACTATACTAATATGTGTACTATTTCATTTGGTATTCTTCGATTTTGGCCACTTGCTTTTAGCATGTGTGAACTATACTGTATGTTCATATACATACTAACACAAGCAAATACCAGGTTCTTTCAGGTCTTCTCCAACTTAATCTACTTACTTTGCAGTGACCTGGAGAGTATTCGATATTCTACCAAACGTGTTCTACAGGACTTCCAGGATGATGGGGTGAGATACCTTGAACTAAGAACCACACCTCGGGAAAGCCAGGAGCACGGAATCTCAAAGGAATTATACGTCTCCACGGTTCTTGATGTCATAGACGACTTCAAGAATGAGACGATGTCGACATATCTCATCCTATCCATTGATCGCACAAAGTCAGCCGCAGAAGCAGACACTCTTGTTGATCTTGCCATTAAATTCAAGAACCGTGGAGTCGTTGGTGTTGAGCTAGGCGGTAATCCTTCAAAAGGAGACGTATCAATCTTCAAGGATGCGTTTTCAAAAGCCAAACAAAATGGCTTAGGCGTCACTCTGCACTTTGCGGAAGTGGAATTCTCGTCTTCACTGAAGGAGCTTACCACGCTACTTTCTTTCCAGCCGGATAGGCTTGGCCATGTAATCAACGTGCCAGATGATATAAAGGCCGAGATTGCGCGTCGCAAGATAGGACTTGAACTATGCTTGTCATGTAATGTACACGCGAAACTAATCACAGGAGGTTACCCTGATCATCACTTTGGTTACTGGAGGCACAAGGATTGTCCGATAATTCTTTGTGTAAGTTCAGAATTATATACCCACATAGCTGTGTTAATGACATTGCTAATATAGGAATATGGCAGACCGATGACGTCGGCTTCTTCTGTAGCCCAGTGTCCCAGGAGTATTTACTAGCGGCAAAAAACTTTGACCTTGACCAAACCGCATTGCTTGACATTTGTAGGAAAGGGATTAACAGTATTTTTGGAGGGGCTCAGGAAAAGGAGAGGCTGTATACCCTAATTGACAAGTTTGAAGAAGAACTTCAATAGTTTAAGTACGGATAGAAGTGGTTATGCAATAAACGTGCTCTTTTAATTTTCACCTGGTGATATGGTGCTAGGGAGATTTTCTGAACAATCAATGGTATACTTTTCGTTCAATATATACATTTTATAAGCCCGCCCGCATTTCTGGTAGTTGCAAATGTAAATTGCCTAACACGATGCCTCCCAATGCTAGAACGCTGCAGCAAGTGAAATAAAAGAGAAAGACTTTTAGTTATGATCCCACCTTCCGAATTGAATATAATCGTCGTAGAGGGTTTTAAACACGGCACGGTTGGAAGAATCCATCCCTGCGTTCATCGCCCGCATCGTGCTTTGCGACATGACGTCAAGAATCACATACATCCCCGGCATCAATGCTGCTTTCATTTCGGGCGAAACATGCCCCTTCAGCTGGCAGGATGTATACTCCATGATGAGATACTGTAGATACTGACCTGCCAGACTTTTCACTTTCTTTGTATTATCATTCAGCCCCTGCTTCGAATAGGCCACACCTCCAGTTCGTTGAACTGAAGAAACGGTTGGGTCACAAAGGGCGCTTAGAAGGCGGGAAAACTGTATCCCATGATCAGGTTCCATGATGAAGCTTTCTCCGACCCAGGCCGGAAGGGCCAATCCTGCGACGGATGAGTTCGACGTCTTTTGGCCACGCGTGAATAAGCATCTTAAAAGGGTCTGCATGATCGGAAGAACTAGATGGAATCTGCCACTAAGTTTCTGCCGATATAAGGTAAATAAGGTGCCAAGTAGTTTGCAGAGCCTGGCATGGATGGTACCCGCAAATTTTGAATTAATTAGCGGGCCGGAAGGGGAGACAATGAGGGTGATATTCGCCAACAGGTTGTCTATGTTCCATTGACTGACGGACCTTGACTGCGTTCGTAAAATGATGTCGAGGGTTTCCGCTGCTAAGCAGAAAGACTCGATAGAATCATAATGAGCAAATGCTACCGAAATCTGTGTGAAAATTGTTGAAAGCCCGTTCGAAGCAGCAGAGTCCCTATCTTGGACAGGGCTCAAGCTAAGAACGGCCATGCCTAGTAATAAAAGTTGATAGACACTTTGCCCCCCAGAGAGACCTGTTTCGCATATATTTTGAATCATTCTCACCACAGTATCTTCCCCCATCTCTGATATTTGGGCTTTTATCTTGTGGACGAGGGATCTTTGATCTCTTCCATGTAACTGTTTGAGTGGGAATAGAGTCATGCAATCTTGTAACCGTGATTCAATATCGGAACTCGGTCCCTTAGACGCCACACTCAATAATTTAGCTTGCTTCCTCAGAGACATTGGTGAGTCATATTTAGACATATATTCCTCCAGTTTGCGTATTTTCTTCCGTGAATCTTTGTTCTCACGTTGGAGATCTTGGAAGCTGCCCAGCATGCACAAAGTTCCAGTTAAACTGGCAGTGTTAGTACTCTCGGACGACTTCTTCATAGACTTTGTCAAGGAATGCAGGTCCGAAATAAGACCATCGAAAACTTTCTGCCTCAGAGTACAGATGGTCTGAAACTTTTCCTCGCCGAGCCTATGTTCACGTTTGTGTAAATGAGAAAGGGAAAGTATAAAGAGAGGGTACTCCATGGTTTGATAACTCCGGGTTGGTGGGCATTGTGTTATCCTCGAATAAACAATATTCAAAAACTTTGTGACTGAATCTTGAGGTGCCGCTTCGAACCGTGCGGTGACAGCCTCATAGAATTTTCTGAATGTGTCAAAAAGTAAGTCGGTATCACAGCCGTTGTCCACGTTAATTGATCGTGAAATGTCCCAAAGTTTATCCAGATCGTCAGATATTTGGCCTGACGACTTTGTTACTTCGACTAGCCTGGTCATAAGCAATAGAACATCCAGCTTCATCCCTGACTTAACTCCTCCATTCAGAAAGAAGGATTGCAAAGTATCAACGATTAAGGTGCGTTGCGACCGGGATACTAGACGGGTAGAGGTATACAGAAGACTGCTCACCAGTACCTTAGATGGGCTCCTTTCATTCGCAAGTCCATCACAAATCACCTTAACCAGGTCATCTACAATGGCAGCCGATTCCATAACGGGTTGGGACGAGAGAAAATCTTTCCAAATCTGGGAGAGTTGAATATTTGCGGTAGAAGTGGAATGATTCTCGAGTGATAAGAGTATGTTGGTAAATAGGAGTCGACGAGTGTTGGAAGTCAGGCTATCCATGATTTGGCTGTTACCAAGCAAAGCGGCAATGCAGGCAGTAGCAAAAGTCGCCGCGGTTGAGAGGGTTTCCATTCGGCCATCCCAAGTGGCCAAGTCACTCCTTAAGGAAGGCTCGAAACTCGACAGTGTATTGTTGGCTATTTTGTTAATGTAGTCGTTGAAATCGTTCCCCGTTGCCTTACCCCCAAGGCTAAGAATAAAATTGAAACACCAAAATGTCTCTAAACAATCCTGGGCCGAAACAGCTTTAGAATTTCGGGCAAAGAGTTCTATATTGTGTAAAGCCGTAGGAACCAAAGAGCCCTTCACATCAAAATTGATCGATTCTGAGCAAGATGGGTATCGAGAAACAGAATTTTGCAAGCATCGCCATATTCTCCATTTCCAGCAAACCCCTGGAGGCCCAGTGGAGGAAAGATCTGATAGCTTTTCCAGTATTTGCTCGTAATGGCCAAGTGAGATCTTATCGAGCCCACTTTGTATGGGGGACATCAAGATGGAGTCAAGGATGACAAGCGAAGAATATGCGCCAGGTACATTCTCAGCTGATGCCTTCATCAGCTGAATCTTTTCCAAAAGATCCTCCACGTGTGCATCAAGTTGAGTGTCTGAAGCTGCCAAACACTGCCCGCAAGTTCTAACCACATCGTCGTTCTCCCAGATTGAAAAGAGGACTTGATTGTGCTTAGACCACCGCACTGACTCTGAGTTGAAGATCTGGTCAGCCCATAGCTTGATGAAAGCAGATCCGTCTCGCGCATTGAAAAATCCTCGAACAATTGGAATAATAATCTCGCACTTTATTAAATCGAATAGATCACCTGAAGCAACATGTTTTTGTAGAGGTAAAGCTGTTATTCCAACAAGTAGTAAGTTTAGTAAGGTGGCAGATTGTGCAACGCCAGAATTCAATAGGAACACGTCCACATCGAGCTGTAGTATTCGGGCTATTAATTCCCATTCAATTCCACCATGGGTGCCTGAGAGACCAGAAAATTGGCTGGTAATATGAACGAGAGTACCCAAAGAGAGCTTCAGCTTTCTATGGATAGCTACATCCAGGAACTCTTGTAGCAGATTCACATCCACTAACGTCCGCTCTTCCTCCAATGGATAACCAGCCTGCGACATCAGGCAAATAAGAAACGACTCTAACCATGGTGTCTCATGCAGCTGCCGTCGAAAGTTATTTCTTGGCATAGAGCGGATAGAAATGTCAAAAAGTGTCGGGAGAATGGTCGCTTCAGTACCAGACAGAACAGGGCCTATCTTGGTTTTGAACTCATGGCTAAGGGATTGAGCATTCTTTGAGTTGCTTTCATTGTTGGTAGCAGTTGCAGCTGAAGAGAAGAAAGATTCGCGGAGATTGAGAACAACGTGAAGGGCTACCAGCCGTTCGAGACCATTGACAAGTTCTAGGTCATCAGGGTATTGGCGTGCTTTTCTAATCAATCCTAGAACGCCAACTAAAGCATGGAAAACAAACATTTCCTGTAAGCAATGTTAGTCCCTAAAATATCACGTATTAAAAGCAAGGAATATAGCCATACATTACTGGAGGCGGTCGAACTATTCTCATGATCTGATCTAAGAGCCCATATTTCTAGTATCGATATGAGGGATTTGTGAAGTCGTTGTGGGAAAGGTGCTGCAGCAGCAGTAGTATTCGCACAGTTAACAACGGTTTGTGCTTGGCTGCATGCCCTCCCAACGATAATAGAACTTGTCTCAGCATTCCCACGCAAGACGAGCTTGACCTGAGCTTTTAGTAGGTCTTTAGATTGAGGAAGTTGGTCCGCAAGCGCTATTAAAGCGTTAACTGATTCGATGATTGCAAGGAACGTATCGCAAAGCGAGCTCTCTTCCTTCCGGCTTGTTTCCGTAGCAGGGCCATCTGTCCGCTTACGTTTCCGATTCTGCGTAGAAGAGTCAAATTCTGGCTTCCGTTTCAGCTGTGACCCAATCTTGGAGTCGTATTCCACTTCCGCAGGTTGGGTTGCTGGACCGTCCGAGACATCCAATGTTACCAATGAATCTCGCAACAGGCCTAGAAAATCGCTCTCGTTCAGTGTAAACGCTAGGCTCCTGATAGGTATGCGCCCAAAGAGAAGACGTAACAGTATCCAAGATCGGGCATTATTCCGGTATTCATTCGGTTCATCTGCCGGGCCTTTCAGCTTTTTCAACAGCCATCGCAAAACCCATTCTTCCTTAGGTGCTGAGAGCGCGGGTGTAATTAAGGGCGGTTCGCTATCGTCGGCATAGAAACTCAACCCGCAACTTTCTAGGTCAACTCCAGCAATCCTAGCTGCCTCTTCTAGCTGCTCAATTGAAGACCCTGAGGTCCCTTTTTCCAGCGCAAGCAATGCTTGATACGCGGGGAGCTAGTAAGCTGATATTAGCCTATCTCACTCTATAAAAAAAGAAAAAATACTTGGACAATAACGGCAGCCTACCTCTGGCTCTGAACCCATCTTGATTGTCCGTTTAATCGCCTCTAAAAAGGCGACTTCATTCTATCGCTCTTCTTCCCAAAAAATGACCTCTTCCTGATATCAAAAGTTACTTTTAGCCGGAACATTTTTTTATATTGACCCGGAAATAAGATCATCCGGAACCGATCCTCGCCATTTCCCGAAATCGACCAAGGCCAATCGAACTGCGTGAACAAACACAACGAACGACTCTCTTCCAGACACAAAACACCGTAAGTAGAATTTCATCTAGTCATCAATTGGTTTTATTTGCTTACGGAGGCTCTCTAGGTTTTGTCAAGATGGCTGATTCCGCCGAATCTTCCCAGTCCGTGCCTGTGCCTCGCGCCAGCAAACCTGTCAGCGAGACTCTACTTAACGAAAAGGTACGCTCTTCGGGCCCTGAGCAAGTCAACATGTCCGGTGTGAAAGAACAGGAAAATAAGCTGTATGATTGGGGTATCGGGGGAAGGTTTTGGCTGACTGATCGATTGAACTGGATTGTTTAGTGGGACCGCGCAATTTCGTCCCTACTTATTCGATCCTCCGTTGGTCTCGGATTTGGAGTTATATTTTCGATTCTGCTCTTCAAGCGACGAGCATGGCCTGCGTGGATAGGATTGGGCTTCGGCGCCGGCCGAGCATGGGAAGAGGCTGATGGTAAGGCATCCCTGGAGTACTTTTCGGTCCTTCCGCTTGGATATGGATATGTTTGGTGGCCTGTTGGAGATTGATTGAAGAGATGTTACTAACTTGTGTTTCATATAGCTTCTTTCCGACGAGGTGATCAGCCATGGTCTCAGAATCTCCGATTCCCAAAGTCGTCGTAGATGACCATGCGGGAGCTACTGTACGGTAAAAGTGACGGGGCCAGAAAATATAATCACCAAAAAAACAAAAGAAGAATATACCTCATATGCATCTACCTTTCTACACATCCGGTCTCACTTGACCTTGTCTGCTTATCTCTGCCTTAACATATACACAGTGGTGTGCGGCTCCGTATACCTAGTTCAGTTGGCCCTATTATAACACCTAGGGCCTGTACAATACAGCATTCCCCCATTTTTACTAGTGCTTTCTTCAAGAGAATATAGTCATTGATTTAACTCAACTAACAGTATTACTATCTATGTGCTTTTTCTCTTGTTTAATATGTATTTGTATATTTAGCACAATGCGACTTGAAATGGTCGCCGAAGAGGGGAGAAATAAAAGATACAGCAATCGCTCTATCTGCTGGGGGGGTATAAAGCACCATTTTGTGAAAGTAAATACAGGAATCAAAAGGCAATAGATTGCCCATATCGTGTCCGATCGTTTTTAAGCAGGAGGAGACTCCATCGATGCATGACCTGGATAATGTGCATGATATCCACTGGAAACCGAAACTTGTGGGTTTAGATGCGCCTGCGCGTCTGTCTGCATCTGTATTTGTGAGAGAGGTGGTGTTTGGGTCTGCATTGAGAAAAAGGTGACACTCTGCGGAGTGTTCCTAGCTGAATCGCTCACTTGCGGGATGTCTGGTGGTGGGGAGGATTCGGTGGAAATGCCATTGTGGCCATGATGAGTTAAACAGCCAATGCAGGCACAATTCATGCCGCATTGGCAGGTACCGGTGAGATTCGTGCACGGATCAAGCATACTGATGGGGTATTCTACGGTGTAGTAGGCGGTAGGACTCATTGTCAACTCACCGTCACCAGCGTTTTGAGATATTAAAGGATTGTTGCTATCACCGTACCCCAAGAGCTGTGGCTGGAATGGTGCAGAGTGAACGTAACCTTGTGAAAAATGGTTCTGTCCAACAGTAGCTAACTGGGGCTCTGGAGGAAGGCGTGCACTGTATGGCGGTGAGTGGACCTCGTCATTCCCCTCGGGTCCCTGGTCACCGTATCCAGATGCCATCATATAACCCATCTCTTGGATATAATGTCTAGTGGTATCATTGTAAGGGTGGGACGCGCAGCCTAAGCACTGACATCCATCTCCGCAACCACAGTTATGGCCTTTGCATCCACCCTGAGAAGCAGTCGAACCATAACTGGCGTGAAGGCCAGGCGGTAAACCATCAGGCGGCCCGAATTGGTCAAATGAATTGAAATGGTGGTATTTAGTTGACTGAAGGTTAAATGACGTTGGGGGTACGGAGTGAGAGCTAGGAGGATAGTGTATAAATTCGTTTTCCAGAGAGCTGAGTAGGAAAGGTGCAGGAGAAGGGGCGGGTTCTGATATGGCAGGAGTCGAAAGCGATTTGTGGAGTAGATTGTTTTGGATCGGATGAGACTGTAAAGGGGTATCGCTTGACGAAGGTGGTAGCTTATAACCAGGAGTTTTCTGTATATTTTCCATAACATTTACAGAAAAGGAGGCATTTGATGGCCGTTTCGAACCACAGCATCCACTATTCTGTGGTGTATTTTTTATTGCGGTTGAGGTGGCCGGACTGTCTGTCTTTTGGCAGAGGGCCGAGTTCGGCTTGCTACTTGCTGCCGCGGTTGAATCATCCACACTAGGTCCTGCTGGCGTAGATGCCTCATTCTTGACTTGAGCCGGAGAGGTTAGCATACCCAACCCCCTAGATACGCTATCAGCCGAGGCCTGGATGCTGTTCTGGCGTCTCGAACGTTTTTGAATGCGGTTTGCATTCGCCGACGGGGTTGCGGGAGCCATTGGGGATGGTGGTACAGCCGTTGTTGGTGCCCCTAATGATGTTGGACTGCTAGGTATCTTTGGTTGCTGCTGTTGCTGCGCTTCACCGGGAGCCATGGGTACTTTATACAGTGGCCGACAGAGACAGGTAGATCCTAACAAGAGATATTAGTACTACAGTAAGGAGGACCATCAACCGATGTAGTATTGATACTACTAACATGCTCGCTCACCTTTTGGTATTCTAACCATGAATGCATAGAGTTTCTGGCAGCTGCAGGTACCCTTCGGATGAGGGCATTTCTGGAGCGGACGGCCTGCCTTGGGCACTTTCATCATGAGTCTGTCGAAATGCTGGCATTTGGACGAACGATGCCCTCGGATGCATGGCTCGCTGTAGTGCAATTGTGTGTCAGCCGTTGTGTTATATAGCATACGTTATGAAACCATTGGAACGGCTGGTTTATATAGATGTACAGGAGGAAAAGAGGGATCTAACCATGACCACTTGGCTCCCTCCTCGTCCAGAGGCATGATCGCTTTCGTATTCTTGGGGCTTCCGCCAGCTGGCTGGGGGTGCTGGCAGGCCTTCTTATTTAACAGGCGAACGGATTCCTCGAGCGGCGCCACAGATCGTCAGGACGGACAGAGGAGTAGTACGAGGCCCTCTCTCTTGTTTCTCCTTTGCTCTTCCCTTTCGCTCTTTCTGGCTGGCAAGCTGTCTGATTTAAGAGAGATCTGGACGGATCGCTCTCGCCTTCGCTTGCTTGCTTCCTTGCGCCCTAACCACTGGTCGACTTGTACTCCGTAGAATGCCTGCGAGAGGCGCGCGCGCACAGGGCCCGGGGGGAGGAGAAATGTGACGGCGGGCAGGGATGGCGGCAGCGATAACTAGCGAATGATAACGCGGCCGCAAACGAGCGCAGCAGGATCTCTCTCCAACCAGATCAACCCTTGACATAAAAGAAATATCGTATACTCATACAGCCCATACGGAGTATGCAGAGCTAACTTAGCTAACCGATCCCATTCCCTTCTTCTAATAATATCAAGAAGACGAAGAAGAAGAAAAGAAAGAAAAAAAGTCGACGTCAAGAAGAAGTTGAGGAGCAGCGACGCTAAGCCCGAAGAGGAAGGCTACAGTTAGAAAATTGGCCACAAGTTCTTGTTTTGATAGAAGACGAAGACGAGAGACGGCGAGAGACGACGAAGAAGAAGAAGAAGAAGAAGACGAAGACGAAGAAGCATCTATGGCAGTGAAGTCGGACCCGGCGATGGCGACGGCGACGGTAGGGAAGGACTCGAAGTCGTGGCTCCCTGCGATCCCCCAGCCCGTCAAGCGTGTGTTCGACCAGTTCCCGCTGGTGACCTATCCCCCCAACTCGGCGCCAGCGAGCTCCAGCACCAGCGTCAGCGGCAGTAGCAGCACCAATGCGGGCGCGAATCAGCGGCCGGGCGAACACCGGCTGTATATCTTCACCAGCACAGAAGCAGCCAGCAAAGGGCGGCCTTCGGTGAACCCGCAGTGTCTCAAGTGGCAGGTCAGCAATACGTTCTTCAGGCTCTCGCAGCCAGCTGCTTTTGATAGGCTGCCGGACGTGCATTTGCTGACAAGGTAGAACAGACGTACCTCAGGTTCCGCGGGATACCATTCCGTACGATTCCTTCCAATAACCATGCTTCCCCCGACGGAGCCCTGCCTTTCCTTCTCCCCGCTCCTGGGTCAGGAGGCACATCAGAGCCGGGCTGCGTCGCCTCCAGCAAGCTGCAGAAGTGGGTAAACGAGAATGCAGAGTGCTCCTCTGAAGATGAGGAGGTTAGCCATTTCCTCAACTCGGCTGGGAGGGCCTACAGTTCACTGCTGGACCACAGGATACGTGATGCTTGGGTATGGACAGCCCCCCCAGAAAGATGGAACGCAGAAACAGGATAACTTAGCTGACTCGGGAAAACATCATAGCTCTATACCGTCTACCTAGATGGCTCCAATTTTGAGTCCATCGCAAGAAACGTATATGTGAACTCTTCCACAACGAACCCTATAGTGCGCACAGCTCTCGCATATCAGCTTCAGGACGCAGCAAGGAGCCAGCTGCAGCTGAAAAACTCTTACATCGACGCAGACGATATACTCGCCGAAGCAGAGAAGGCCTTCCACACGCTCTCTTACATACTAGCCGACCACAAATACTTCTTCACGGACTCCACACCCTGCTTGTTTGACGCCAGTTTTTTTTCATATACCCATCTCATACTCGACGAGACGCTCGGCTGGAAGTACAACCCGCTGGCAGCAGTCATCAAAAGATACGACAACCTTGTACAACACCGTCAACGACTCTTGGATACATATTTTTAGAGCAAGACATGCATGATACATTCACGGAAGAAAACGGCGTTGGGTTGTAGGATATATATCTTGTTTTGTTTTATCATTAGAGCCGATTCCTTAATCTTTTCGTCTCATGTATATTATAGCCAGCCATCATCATCACCACCGTTTACTGTCCTTCTCTGTCTAGTCACTTTCTCTGGAAACACCCGCCAAACCACACCCGGACACCAATATACTTCGACGATCGCGGCCCCAGGACAGGAGCAAGTTTCTCATCCACCATCACCTCCTTCATCTCACCCACCAATTCCAGGCCAAACGTTGCAGCCTCCGCAACAACCTCTTCTGCACTGTAAGCATAGCTCGTTCCACTAACCTTCACTCCAGTCTGCGGATCGACAAATCCAGCCTGAGTGACGCCGCCCAGTTCAGAATGCATGTTCGTAATCAGCAAAGCACCACCAGGCTTTAACATGCTTGTCACGGCTTTGAAGAAGTCCTGCATCGGCACATGCTCCAGCACCAGCGTCGAGATGACTCCATCTGCTTCCAGCGCACTTGCAGGTGGTCCGGTAGGCCCGAGAAGGTCATACATCTCTAGCGTAACATTGCTGGCATCTGCGGTACGTTTGTGCGCCAGCGCAAGCATCTTCTCAGACGGATCCACGCCAACGACATTTGCCTTTGGTGCATGTTGAGCAAGGGGTAGTGTGTTTCTTCCAGTCCCGCAACCAAGATCGACGTATTTTGTCTTCTCGCCTAGAGACTTGTTCAGAGATAGAAATTCTGGCAGCAGTGTCTTCATCTCCAGTGTGTCCAGTGCTTGGAGGAAATTCCCATCCGTATCGTATATCTATGAATAGTCAGTGGCTATGATCTAAGGTCAACAGGGTTTCTATACATACCTCTGCCCATTGGTTGTACGCATCAACAGTGTTGATGTATTTGACCTCCCTTTTGGGTGCTGTAGTAGCGTTTTGTGCCATCTTTGGTAGATTGTATTTTCTGAGCTCTCGCACTTTAGAGTCGTTCCCTCTTGTCGGTTTAAATGGTCTCTACAACAGCGAAGTTGCTCGTCTTTTATGCACAGCAAATTGATGAAGATAGTTATCCATGTTGCAAGAAATACGAGGAGCCTTGACTCATGGAAATTATTGCCTTCTTTGGGACTCCGCCCTATACATCGGGTTTTTCGGCCAAGTCTTTGCTGATGGCAACCGAAATTCTCATCGCCGGCTCATTGGCCAATGCACATTCATAACACACAGTAAAACTGTTGAGGACAATTATATTGGAGAAAAAGACGGAAAGAAAGAAAAAGGATCAATTCGCCATGACGCCGCGCGGAGAATAAGACAAGAAACGCAAAAAAGAAACACAAAATTCTCAAATACCCAAGTTTTAAGAATCAAAAGCAAAACCAAGCAAAGCAAAAAATTATATACAAAGCGATCAAAAGACAGCACTGCCGAATGGAGCCGTCTCCTTGAGATCCTCAACTAGGTCCTCGACGTTACTCAGATATCTGCCCAGGAGACTCTGCTTCTCTTCGGTTGTCTTGGTATCTGCATTTGCTGCGGAGCGCCTACGCCCAGACACATCGACACTGCGCGACGTTGGCCCTCCTAGTTTGCTTGGACTGCGCTGTAGACCTGCGGCTGTGTTTGGCGCACTGGCATTCAGAGATGGTAGTTGCGGTGTTTCGGGCATGAGGTAGAAGTATAAGAATTCAACGAGTTTCAGTTTCACTTCTCGAGACGTGGACCGCAGCTTGAATAGGGATGTTATCGTGAGCAAGCCGTCAAGCTCCTCGAATGTGCGGGTGTTGCTAGGAGTGTCCAGCAGAGCCGTGACTAGTGTCAGCAGGGTGGCAGACTGAATGGCAGGACAATTCGCCGGCTCCAGGAGGTCAAGCAGGATATTCATATATATCTCTCGAGCGAACAGAGCACGAGAAGGTGGATGAAGAAGCAAGATTCCTTGGATAAGGTCGAGCGCAGACACGATGAGAAGATCGTTCGTGCCATTGCTTCCGCGGCCGAGCAAGTGTTCGAGACATGATATTAGGCGTAGAGCAACTGAAAGGAAAAAGTTTTCACTGGTTAGCTACGTCATAATACTGATAAAGGAAAGATGCAGGATCGACATACCGTTCCATTGAAAGCCATCCTGAAGCTTGTAGAACTCTCGGAAGGCTGGATCGTCGCTCAGTTCACTTGTTGACTTTGGCGGCGACGGCGCTGAGCCCAGAGGTATCATCGACCGTCTCTTTTCGGCGGCCGTCAGCTTTGATCTTGACAGGCATATCTGCGCCAGTAGACCCTCGACCTGTCGAAGGCCCTTGCGGATCTTGCCCTGGTCATACGAGGAGAGATAGTCGAATGAGTGAGCAAGGAGAGCTTCCATGGTGAGCGTGTAGAAAGGAGCGGCGCTTGCTTGAGGTTTCTTCTCGACCGTTGTCTGTCGCTTCCTCTCTGGCTCTTCTTTCCAGAGTACGCCTGAAACGCCGTGATATCCCAAATGCAACAAAAGATGTCGCGTTAGTCTCGATCTTATCTTTAAAATCGGCGATGAAAGCAAAAAACGATAGCTCGTTGCCGAAAGCGGCTAAGCGTCAACAAGCCGCCGTTGCCGAGGAAACAAGCACGTGATTTAAGCGCCGATTTCTCAGATGGGGCGCGCTAAAACAAAAAGGGGAAAAGAAACCTCAGGGGTCAGATCCATATATATAGGTATATAACTGGGTTGTTATATATTAAATATATTGAGGATCGAAGCACCATATAGTGCCATTTTCAGCATTAGGAATTGCTGACTTGGATGAATTATGGTAGAAATATCCCCTACTTTGTGCTGCCACAAGATGCCTAAGATATTACTCGGTAATGACCAAGGAGCGAGTTATGCTTAACCACTAGGACTTGAATCAAACCGATAGATACACACAATATGCAGAAAATTTGATGTAGGGAGAAAAAGTAAATAGCCATTTTCCTACCAAAAAATTCTGATATAACTATCATTTGACTTGCTTAGCTTCACCAGATAGTAAACTGGACTCTGTCTGCAGACACCACATAGAGGTGCAAGTCTTGCCTAGGTAAAACAGAACGCCCAAACGCACGCGGAACGCACAAACGCAAACTAAACGCCCAAACGCAAGCCCCCCATGTAAGAATACATACATTCACGCCTCTTCCATCATAGTGTCTTCCGCAGGAGCCTCAGACTCCTTCCAATTCCCCTCAAGGTCAATAAGCAATGGCTCATCGTCCTGCTGGGTATTTCCCCCTTCCGTTTCAGAGAGAGAAGCTGGCTGAGCAGCAGAATTGGCAGAAGCAGGGTCACCGGCAGGCTCAGACGAACGTCCCTGGCGGAGTTTCGCCATCATAGCCTCCTCTAGGATCGAAATCCTCTCCTCTTTCCAGAGGAGTTGCTTTCTGTCGGCAGCTGCCGCCTCTCAGAGGCGGATCAGCTCCACTCCTTGCTCACCCAGGGGGAGGTCACGAAGCATCTGCCTCGCGGCCTCCCGCTTCTTCTCCTCCTCTTTCTCCTTCACTGGCTCCCGCTTGCCACCCGCCCCCTCGCACCCACGCCGGCTGTCCACGAACACCGGCCTCCCACGGTGGGCGTGAGCCCCTTCCCCGATTTGCGAACTGCATACAGGTTGATGATCAGCTATGTTAATCATACCGTGATGATATATAGGAGGAAACTTACTCTTGTCATGACTTCAGACTTCCACTAGGATAGTAAACTGAATGCATATCAGGTTAGTAATTTTTGTAGTTCGTTTGAAGACACATGAAAGGGTACATACGCGGTATGTGATTCGAATGTGGACGAAGAGAGAAAAAGAGAGAAAGAAGAGAAAGAGAAAGAGGGAGGAAGGAGAGATAAAAGAGGAGTCGTGGAACGACGCGCTAGCACTAGTGCTAGAGCACATTACCCTTTTAGGAATACCTGTCCTATCAAAACATCAGTTTGTCCTGTTTACACTTAGTAGAAGAGAGCGCCGGATTTCCCATAAATCCAAGGACAAGTGGTTTAAGCGAGCACACAAAAAATAACTTGAGTCTTTGTGATAAATATAGTAATCCTTAAATAGCCTAAATTTGGGGTATTATGCCACATTTCTGCTTTTGCTTCGTTATCCAGTAATACACTCATGGAGATATTGAGGAGAACTCCATCAAGGTTATATCTGTTCCTAGTAAGAGATATCAGCAGCTGAAGGAGCACAACGTACTAATAAAGGGTATCACAATGGCAAACATCATCAAAATGATATGTTTATATGGTATAACTCGAAATCCTCGTTTAATTCTATAACTTCAGTCACCGCGTTGCTATAGGAATCAAATCGACTTTCTCCAGGAAGCTTTTCCTAGCAAAGCAGTCATATAGTTATAGGATGAATCTCAGACATCTGCCGTTGGTCCAGTAATTACCTAAGCTAAAAGGGAAAATGCGAAGTGACCTCCTTCCTGGCCTACCATGAGACGACGTTGGGCGTTGCAGGCGTCGCTGCAGGCTGAGTCACCTGACCGAACGCAAAATCATTATTCCTGAGAATCAAGCGCCCGGCTGGCTGGCTCCACAGGCGATGCAGGGTTGGCGCCACAGCCGTGGAAGCTTAGCATGACGTCAAGAAGAGAAGAACTCCAGAAGAGACCAAGCATGAGGACTGCAATCCAACTACCCATTGCAAGGCTATGTATGAATATATATACCTATCCTTGGCATCCTAACAGCCTGGTATGTTCTTTGATTTAACTAGTTATAAGTGCCAGTCATCGAAAATGAGTTAAACTAGTTAGCTAATGGGAGACATCTCCAGCAGTCAACAGTTCTTGCCAACGTCACACAAACCGAGTATATAACACGGCTCCATACGAGGAATGAAGCCCAATAATGGCTGCTATTTACAGTTTTGTTCAGCTCTTATATTATGAGGTTTTTAAGTCCGCTGAAGAGGCCGAACGAAGAGACCACATATCAAGTACTATAAAAAAAGCGATTTACAATTCTGAATTTATTACCGATGAACTTCGGTTTTTCAAGCGAGAAGTTGAAAATCGCTACCCCCACCGCAAAGATATAATTGCGGTGGTTGATTGCGTTAGGCGGTGCTTACAAGATGAACATGGCGGCATTGATCCACATTGCTTTTTCGATAAATTCAGAGACACAATATATTTCGCCTTCGTGGTGGATATGGCTCCCCCTTCTCAGGGAGGAAAGGCATATCGTGAGGCTGCGAGAAGATGGACAACTCCAGCTTTTGTTCCCTCTCCTCGGGACGCAAAGACTTTCTGTGAGGTGGTGAGAAGATGGTCGGATCGAGCTCAAATTGTGAAAGAATTTGCCTTCCTTAACTTACACGATCAGGAAGGTATAAGCGTAGTTCAAACGGGCCCTAAACGCCAGATACTATTAACATTTGATACCCAGCTCCACGCTGAGAATACCGCCAGGGGAATGGAAAGGTGGATGCAGACAGATAGAAGCCCACCCGTGGTCTAAGTACATATTCTCTAGGAAATCAAGCACTTGGTTCGCACACTTGGTGATACCCTATTTTTCATTTCGTACTTTTACCAGGCATCATCCATACCAATTTCTGATTCTATTCTTTCTGCAAGGCGTATGATACATCCAAGATAAAGGTCCTGGCTTCTTTGTCCAGCTATGGATATTCAGCTATATATCACAGATATATATATCTCAATAATATTCTTTTTGCAGTCAAATATCCTCATTTACTGTATACCTGTCTAATATTGCCTTCTTCATCCGAGTGCCTTCCATTTCATGTGAGTGGAGTGTTACCGAAAATGGAAGTAGCAACGCGACGCGACTTCCCACAAATTTTTCTCCTGTCCTCCTCCGCTTTTTCCTCTTCTTCCCTCCTCCTCTTCTTCCTCCTATTCATGGCTGGACCAAGTACTACAGCTATTACAACGACAGCAGCAGCATCTATCATTCTCCTCCCATCACATATCCCCTCGAGAGTTGCATTAAGTAACTGACTATTTGAACTACTAGCAAAGTTCAACATCTACGGGCACCGAAGATGGCTCCAGGAACAACCAGGTATGCCTGATTTCCCGTGTCTATTGCATACCATGCCACATTTACATAGCTTCCTTCACTCCTAGTCGTGACAAAAAGCCCATGGACCAATGGCTAGCCTCTGAGCAGGTTGAAGCCTACATGAACATGCTTAATAAAAAGGGAGAGTATAAAAAAACACCTCTAGAATGTAAGAAGGACTGCAAAAAGCAGTTTACTAAGTTGTACTATGAGATAGGCCCTCCAGATGCTCCCAAAATTTATCCTATGGCCTTACCAGGATGCTCGCCAACGTCGTGGGAGAGCTTCAATGCCAAAGCCAGAGAATGTTACCTCTGGATTAAACGATGGGCTGTGGGAGAAAACCCCGTCAATGGCCTAATTCTTCTAATTGCCCTCGTTGGCCGGATTATTCACGCAGGGTTCAAAAAGGCCAATACTGACCTACGCAAAAGTGGAAGTTGATTTTTCTGGCCCTGCATACTAGGAGACCTCATTGCGTGTGTTGCCTTACTCGTCCAGCAACGCATATCGACCGATCCAAGAAACGCGCATTATTGGACCAGCCTTATCATAGCGCTCGGCGCTATTGTATCCCCAATACTGGATGCTGTTGCATCATTTTACCTCGGGAGACTTGAAAGTCTCAAAGATAGTATGCATGTTCGGTCGCAGGCAAACTAATCTGTGATATCTCTGTCGCAGTTGTGCTTCACACATCTCTGTGGATAGCCACCAAAACTTTTGTCACTTCTGGGACTTATTCGCTTACCGAGAAGGATCTAGAACAATGGGATCAACTCTCAACTGATTTCAAGTATTGGGCAATAGACTCTCTCGAAAATCACATTTGTGAATCGCTCGCCAAAGAGTTATCTTCGGGTGACAGTGGAAATACCCCTGCTAGAGTTCGCGATCTCGCGTATACCTCAAGTTCGGCAGCAGGTGCCCAAGGTTCTACTATCAATCGTCAGACATTTTCTTCTCCTCCCTCCCCTGATGATATCAAAAGACCCACCTCTGCATACCCTCGGGTATACTAACGCAGAGGAGAACTCAAAAGCAAGAGAAAAGGCAGAGTTCAGATATGCTTACTGCATATTCAACTGAAAGCAACTAAGATACAGTTGTATCATTTCGCTGACTCTCGAGTCGGTTCTACATACAATGACACAACGGGTTGATTCAAATTTACCGGGGCTTCGGACTCGGCGTCATTGTACACGCATAACATCAACCCTTAGGTTTTTTTTTTTTTTTTTTTTTTTTTTTTCCTGTAAAAAAAAGTTGGTCGGTGGTTGACACCTGGTAACGTGCTGAACATAACTCTGCTATCTGCTCTGAGTGATGGGATAACGTGTGGGTTCGAATCCCACGGCCAACATTTACCTTAATGTTGCTATGATGCTCCTAGTTCAAAGGAGATATTTAAGGATACTAATGGGCGACAGCTAGTTATGTGCAACACCTTGGGATAAAGAAAGGGGTAGCAACAATAATGAGGTAAGAGGTTTTCCTTACCCTTATTGTCTGCGGGTGGCTGGCCGGACTGACTTCCTTTAACTCTAAGGACAGTTAGTAAGACCCTTAAGTTAGGTATCTTGGGGCGTATGTATTACTCAGTAGTGAGTACAACTTCTACCTCAGTGTGTACTTGATTTGTTTGAGCTTTACATTACTGGTGTAAGTTCACTCCCTTGCCGTACTTAAAAAGAAAGACTATCTAACGAGGACCAAGTCTATGCACCGTTACTATTACTCAAACTCCCTTTCCCCTTAACTAGTGTCCAAAATCATATATTACGGGGCAGTAAATGAGTCTCTTGTCCCGTCATCATGCGCGATATAAATGGGCAATTATCGGTATCAGCAACGCGCCAATTGGTCTGCTCAACTGCTCGCTACCTAACTTATGCCAGGCCAGTCCCCGCGATTTCCACGCGGTAGTTATGCTACCCCGTTTCCCCACGCTGAGTTACCCCTGATTGTTTTTGCAGTGGGCTGACCGGGGAATCAGGCACGACATGTTGAGAGAAAAGAGCAAGACGAGCTTCCTGTCGCTAGTTATACCGCGTGCGATACTTCCTTCAGGGTGTATATTCAGGATGCGGTATTTTGGCGCCTATTAGCTGGGGAAGAGCGAACCACCAGCTGCGATATCAAACGAGAGCCATATGGCCTATTTCGCCTATTGAGAACGGCAGGGTGTATGGTATATGGCCAGTCAGGTATGTCATGGTATTACCACGGTAAAATTGTTAATGACATGCAAGCCCTGCGGTGTAACAAAGACTTCGGTGACGCCGTCCGCGGTAATAATGTATTGTTATGTAACAATACCAACCATGGAAACCGCCATACCGTCCCACCAACCTTCGCCTTTTTGTCGCAAACGACTTCACGAGTTCAACCACATCCAGCTCCAGCTTTACGGCCTCAATCATCTCAAGCCGGCATCATGCATTCCCTCCCTCGCTTCACTTGTCCACACGAACCATGCCAGAGCTGATCCTTGACCCTGCACCTCTCTCAGCCTGCAGGGAAGCTCGAGCGACGAGAGCATGACCGTCCCGCGAAGGATTGGCCGCCAGACCCAGCCTGGACTAGAGGGACGAGAAAAGACCAAGACGACACCAACCAGCCACTAGAGAAACTAAAGCAACTTTCCGTCCTTTTAAGCCCAAGCCGGCGCATCAAAGGTAGCAGCCAAGCTTGCATCTTGTACCTGTACCTCTTGGCGCCGCCAAACGTCGCTGTGAAGGCGATGTACCGGTACTTAAGGCACTTCCGCTTTGGGCGAATGCTTAAGCCCTCACGATGCACCGTCAAAAACTATGGGATGACAGGCGACACGAACATGTATTTATATAGGGCCGGGGGCCATCCTGCACCTCCAGTTCAGCTTGCCTGTGCAACTCTGCTTCGCCTTTAAACCTGGGGGTCAGTAGCAGACGCTTACACAGTTATCTTCCATCCCACCCGTCCGAAAAACTGTCTCGGGAGGTGACTGAATAGCTGTCCAGCATGGCTGACGCAGACAAAATAGGAGGGTGAGTGGCTGGCTATTGCTAACAACTACTTGATGCCTCCCTGTCGATCCTAAAGACCTCGGTTGTGCGGTAGTGCTAACCTGATTGTCTAGCACTGAGAGACGCGGCTCTCTCTTCAACACGGCCAAAGACAGCAAACAATTCACTGAAAATGTCACTGGAGAGTGAGTGGGCCTGTTATCCTCCCTCTTCTCGCCGGCAAGTTATCTAATAACGGTTATAGAATCAAAAATCCTCTCGCGGAGGTGCCTAAGGACCAGCTGCTGGATGATGTGCGCAGCTTTGCCCACCAGCACGGCCTGCAGGACATCATTCCCCTGCTCGAAAAGGGCGCTTTAGTCGCTCAAAACCCAAGGGACTTTGAGTCTTTGTCTGAGCTGGACGAGGATGACCGTATTTGTCTGCGCGAGGAGGTCACGCATCGCTGGAAACTCCCTTGGGGACTGTACTATACGATCTTCCTCAACTCCATCGCCGCCGCCATCCAGGGATGGGATCAGACTGGTCAGTGTTTTTCTTACTGGTTTATTTACCTTCACATTTAGCTACATATGCGCTAACACAATCAATAGGATCTAACGGAGCAAATCTGTCGTTTCCGATCGAGTTTGGTATTCCTGACAACCCAGCCTACTGCCCTACTGATGCGATCTGTGAGAAGAATGCATGGATCGTCGGTTTCGTCAACTCTATCCCCTACATCACCATTGCTCTTTTGTATGTTCACCTAACTCTATGGACTTCTGCATAGCCTGCAGACTGCTAACACGTTCTACATCTAGTGCGGGTTGGCTCTCTGACCCCATCAATGACCTGATCGGTCGTCGAGGAACAATCTTCATAGCAGCCATCTTCTCCTTGCTTGCGCCCATCGGATCCGCTGTCACTCAGAACTGGGGCCAGCTTGTCATCTGCCGTATCCTACTTGGAATAGGTATGGGTCTCAAGGAGGTTACCGTGCCCGTCTTCTCTGCTGAAAATACCCCTGCCAACGTCCGAGGAGGCCTGGTCATGTCCTGGCAGGTTTGGACTGCGTGCGGCATCTTCCTCGGTACTGTTGCTAATCTGGCCGTTGTTAACACTGGAAGAATCGCCTGGAGACTGCAGCTGGGCTCTGCATTCATCCCAGCCATCCCATTGGTGATTGGTATCTACTTTTGCGCTGAGTCGCCGCGTTGGCTGTTGAAGAAGGGCAAGGTTGCCAAGGCATACCGTTCGTTGCTGAGGCTGAGAAACACTCCTCTACAGGCTGCTCGGGATGTGTACTTTATCCATGCCCAGCTTCAGCATGAGCGCGCCTTGCTGGTGGAGACTGGCCTGATCAAGACAGATAACTTCTTTACTCGATTCATTGAGCTTTTCACCATTCCTCGCGTGCGTCGTGCTACTCAAGCTTCTGGAGTGGTCATGATTGCCCAACAGATGTGCGGAAGTAAGTTCCAACCTGGTTTCAATCAGTGCTTTGGTTGAATTATACTAATGTAGTGCACAACAGTCAACATTATCGCCTTTTACTCGTCCACTATCTTCGAGCGGGCAGGCGCCAACAACATCACCGCTCTCCTGGCTTCCTTCGGCTTCGGCCTCGTTAACTTCGTTTTTGCCTGGCCGGCCGTCTGGACTATCGATACCTTTGGACGTCGCGGTCTTCTTCTTTTCACTTTCCCCAACATGTTCTGGACCTTGCTTGCAGCAGGGATGTCCTTCTATATCCCCGAAAGCAGCCCTGCGCACCTCGGTCTCATCGCGACATTCATATATCTCTTCGGCGCCTTCTACTCGCCTGGTGAAGGACCAGTTCCCTTCACGTATTCGGCTGAAGTCTTCCCCCTCTCCCACAGAGAAGTCGGCATGGCCTGGGCCGTTGCGACGAACAACTTCTGGGCCGCCGTGCTAGCACTCACCTTCCGTCGCCTGGACCTTGCCCTGACGACGCCAGGAGCCTTCGGATTCTACGCAGGACTGAACTTGATTGCCCTGGTCATGATATTCCTGTTCCTGTACGAGACCAAGCAGCGCACCCTCGAGGAGCTGGACTATGTCTTTGGCGTGCCTACCCGGACCCATGCGAAATACCAGCTCACAAAGGTCTTGCCGTGGTGGATCAAGCGGTATATCTTCCAGCGCAAGCATGCCGTGTGCCCAGAACTGTACCACCTTGACAGCATTCGCGAGCAGGCAGTTGAACATGACGGTGTTAAGCAGGTATAAGCGGGCCACCGATAAGGCCAGGGGGTGGTTAGAAGTGGTTCAGGGGTGAGGCATGGTAGCTGATACGGTATGAAGCGACTTGAATGAATTGAATGGATTGATTGATTGGATCTGGTTTTCACTGTAGTTATGGATTGATATCACAGCGAATAATGAACAAAGGCACGACTTGATTATTTATCTCAATGACTTCTATCAGCCTGCAGGATGCATCTTCTTCGTACACTATGCCCGATCTATACAGCGCCAGAGCTCTCCACAGACCAGCTGGCGCAGGGACAGGGACAGGGACAGGGAGGCACCGAAATCTCCACCAGTCAACTCGCTCTTCAGCCAACGCTATAAACACATTCACAGCTTCCGGACTGCTCGCTCTCTAGTTCTGACTCCATGGGCCGACTCGCGGTGTCTACTTAACTACGTGTCCGGCCGAAGTTCGCAGCGTGGAAAAAGCAAGTAGCCAAACATCATAGGCTGAGCCGGCGTTTTGGTCAACTTTGTCTGCTTAACCAGCTGAACTCGCTGCCCGGTCGAATCCAACATATATAAAGCAGACCAGACCCCTTCGACATCCTCCCTGAAGGCTGCTCTTCATCGATCACATCTCTATCTATCGACTGTTGACCAGTTCTACAGAGTATCAACCTAACCCAGCGCAATGGCTTCCAACTTCCCTCCTCCCCCAACCTCCGCCATCGGTAACTGCCCATGACTCAACCCAGCTCCAGGTACTTTCTACATGTATACCAGAGACATTTCACTGACCGGCCGACTCTAGACTGGACAAACATCGGCTTCAAAGTGCGAGACGTAAACGGCCATGTTGAATCCCACTTCTCCCACTCCGGTGATGCTCAATGGTCGGCTCCCCGCTTCGTCCAGTCGCCGTTCCTACAGATCCACGGCATGGCACCAGCCCTCAACTACGGCCAACAAGCCTACGAAGGCATGAAAGCATTCCGACACCCTCCCTCTGCATCCCATCCAAACGGCCGCGTCGTCATTTTCAGACCAGATCGGAACGCAGTACGTCTACATCACTCGGCGGAGTTCGTCTCCATACCCCCCGTTCCCAAGCAGCATTTCGTCGACTGCGTTGTTCGTGCCGTGAGTGCGAATGCAGAGTTTGTTCCACCCCATGAGACTCGTGCGGCGATGTATATCCGTCCCTTGCTGCTGGGTAGCTCGGCGCAGTTGGGTCTTACCCCGCCAGACGAGTATACGTTTGTTGTCTTCGTGATGCCTACGGGCGTGTACCACGGTGTCCATGCCGTTGAAGCCCTGGTTCTCGAGGACTTTGATCGATCTGCCCCCGAGGGAACGGGTAGTGCGAAGCTAGGAGGAAATTATGCGCCTGTGTTGCGCCATTCGGACAAGGCTAGGGGTCAAGGGTACGGCATCACGCTTCATCTTGATAGCAGAACTAGGTCTGAGATTGATGAGTTTTCGACTTCGGCTTTTATCGGCGTGAAGAAGCATGATGGCCAGGTTACGCTTGTGTTTCCTGATAGTAAGAATGTGATTGATAGTGTCACTGCTGCTTCGGTGAAGGAGATCGGTGAACACATGTTGGGGTTCAAGGTTGAGAAGAGAACTGTCAAGTATGATGAACTTGACTCCTTTGATGAAGTCATGGCTGCTGGCACGGCTGCGGCACTGGTGCCGATTCGAAGCATCACTATGAAGTCCAGGAATGATAAGTTTGAGTATAATGCCGGTGCTGCTGGGGAGGGAGGGGAAGTGTTTAATAAGTTGATTAAGACGCTTCAGGGGATTCAGCTGGGTGAGATCGAGGATAAGTTTGGATGGTTGGTTGATGCTGAAAAACTGGAAGAAGGATGGACGGAGAAGTAAAAAGCTACGTATTTCTTATGTGACATGTCTCTGTTAACAGGTAGAAAAAAATTGAGTCTACATTGGAGAGGACAAAAAAGACGGTAATTCAATAGAGTAAGAGCTGTTTAGTCCCTATGCAGGACACAGCTGAAGTCAATATCATAATGTAGGTAAGCTAGGTGGCTAGGTAGATAGAGGTATAAGATATTGTATATACAGTTGTAGATGGCAGACAATCAAGTAAATAGTAGAGTCAGTGTCAGTGTCAGTGTTAAAGTGTATGCAATGCAACATGATTCATGTACGCGAAGAATCCTACTCCTCGTCACTCCGGAACCGGAACCGATCAAGCCAACCAAACCAGCCAGTCCGCCAACCCAAGAGCAGCAAAATAATGGAAAGTTGCAAGCAAGCAAGACAGGCCGGTCTATCAGGTATATCTTGGGCGAAGGCCAGAGGGTAGAAACGAAGATAACGCCGCACATGTCATGCATTGCAGAGAAGAAAGAGAAAAGAGAGACGATATTTTTTCCCATGTTCCTTTTCACTTCGGTAGATAAAGGCCTGGTTTTTGATTCCAGAAAAAAAAGGCGTTTAAATACCCCATAAGCTCCTAACGTTCTCCTTACCGGAACAAGCGCGCTTCGAACCCGCCCTGTTGCTACCCACACCAGCAACCTTGTTGACCAAGAACGAGTCAGCAACCTGACTGTCATTCAAGACAGCCAGAGAAGTGCGTTCATCCTCGAGGTCCCGCGCATCAAGGGCCATGAGATGGCGCACTTTCTGCTGCAGGTTGGTCCCTTCGGAGGTAGATGGGGCGCGTGTGCGTTTTCGACAGCGTCGACTTGTCTTGCATAGAGACGGATCCATTGGCAGGGAGAGGCCGGTTGCTAGTTCGTACAGACCTTGGATGGCAGCGGCATCGGGATCGGAAGGAGTATTGATGGAGAAATTTGAGAGATCTGGAACAGTGCTGGAGACACTGAAAGCGCTGGTAGTGCGGGTGGGTGGGGAAGGGTAGTTGCTGGTGTAGCTTGGTTCATGCTCGTCGATCGGCGTAGCGATCACAAGAAGTTTCCTGTTTTCTTTCAAACAATTGGTTGGTTGTGATGTGGGAGTGTTACGACGAGATGGTCTGGTTGCGCAGTTCATGGATGTCACAGAAGAGATTGATGAAGAGCGAGAAGAGCGCGAAGACTGTGAAGAAAAGGATAAGGAAGGTACGTCGGACGCCATGGACTCGGGCGATGAAGTGAACGAAGAGGAGCGAGCCAAAGAAGAACGGCGCCCCTGGAACGATCCTGACGAGGAACAGTCAAAGGAAGGTTGTTGGTGTTGTTGCTGTTTGCTAATATACAAGGGTTGCGTGGGACGTTGGTCCAAGGTGGTCCGCTGTACAAAGGCCGTCTGCGCTTGGGAGAGAGCCGTGCAGATGGACGGGCGACACGCGCTGATGCTCGCGGCAGGAGTAGGCGCGGTCATACCGACCTGGGGAGTAAGCTGAGGAGTAGGGAGCAGTCCCAGTCTTGGTAGCGGTGGAAGAGTAACGCCAGCCAAGTCAGCTGCTGACGGTCTTCGGGGCATCTCAGCAAATGGGAGACCTGACGAAGGGCTGTCGCAGCTAGCGGGGCTGCTTGGTGCGGTGGAAGTAGAAGATGGCGGGGAGGAAGCGGAGGAGGAGGAAGAGGAATCGGCGGGAGAGCCAACGCTCGACACTGACCAGGGGCCCTCTGCCCTCGAGTCGAGCGTGTCGAGCTGCGGCGTGAGGATAGGGATGACTGTTCGCCAGCACATCCCATCAGCACTGGGGATGCCGCTGGCATTTGGGGTATATTTTAGGACGATATCATTCCAGCGCTGGAAGACGGCGTCTGATATGTGCAGGCGCCAGTCGACAGCCTGGAGGAACATGAGCTCGTTCTGGTTGATCTCGGCGGTGTTGAGGCCGGAGATCTTGCTCCAGGCACGGGCCGAGTAGTTTCTGTCTTGCAGGTACTTGGAGGCAAGGATGAGAGCAGACAGGAACATACGCCGGCCACACTGCATGGCGCGGGAGTGTGACTGCTGCAGTTTTGGCTGTTCCATGGTGAAGTCGATGGTGGGTACATGCGGGCTTGATAAGGATCAGGTAATAGAGGGCAACCTGTAGAGTCGAGTAGTTAGTTCGGTACCTGCTGAGAGTTT